TTTAACTAGCATTTACTGTTTATCTTGAGTGATTTCTTAAAGATGTATGATTAATGTGCTACAGTCTTTCAAAAATGGCTTTTATTTTTGAGGTCAAAAAACCAAATCAAGACAAAGATGTGCTTCACCCAATGCGGACTCACAAGCGAAACTGGTAAAAACAGCCCCTGATGTAAAACAGCTGATCAAAGATGAACTTCGTTTGCTGCAAAATCAATTCTGTGCCAAAGATGAAAAGCTTTGTCGACCAGGACCAAAAGGTAACACAGGAAGACGGGGAAGACGAGGACCCCAAGGTATACCAGGTCCCCGAGGGAGAACCGGACCAGCAGGACCTCCCGGTAAACATGGACCAGTAGGACCACAAGGACCAATTGGCAAGGACGGAGTTCGCGGAATGCAGGGTCCCGCGGGACCCCCCGGTCCCAGAGGTCCGCCGGGTGAGAAAGGTGCACCGGGACAATCTATCTCGGCTCCCTCCCTGTTACAACAGCCTGTTGAAACGACAGTCAATGAAAGCCAGACAGCCATCTTGAAATGTACAGCGGTTGGCGATCCTCCTCCCAAGGTCACATGGTCTAAGGTGAATTCATCACTTCCTGTCGGTCGTCACCTGGTAGAGTCCAGCGGCGCTCTGATTCTTCAGGATGTTACACCTGCAGACGAAGGCCAGTACACCTGCAAAGCTGAAAATTTGCTGGGAAGCATCAACGCAACAGCGAAGCGAACAGTGCAGTGTAAGTTCCAACTTTTTTATTTAAAGCTCTAAGCAATGATGTTCATTACTCCGTAACACATTATCTATTGCTTGTCAGTTCCTCCCTCTATTGCACTGTCATCACATCGCCTGATGGTTGAAGAGAAACAAAACGTCACTATCGCCTGCACTGCTACTGGTCAGCCGAAACCCAAAATCACGTGGTCCAAGTCAGTTAACAAACTGCCCAAAGACAGAAACAAAGTGATGAATGGAGCCCTGACAATCTATCATGTAGTAAAAAAGGACGGTGGAACATACATTTGTAAAGCAGACAATACTCTTAGTTCAGCAACAGATACGGCTCAACTCATGGTTTTCTCCCCTCTACGGTTTAAAGTCAAACCTCCCAAAGAAGTGCACACTACAATTGGATACACTGTCCATCTACCGTGTATGGCCGAGAGTGACCTGAGACCTGTAATTTCTTGGTCAAAAGATGGCTCTATACTTCCTGTTGGTTCGAAGGTTCTTAAAAATAACACTCTCGTACTAAACAACATCAAAAAATCACACAAAGGATCTTATACCTGCAGAGCAACTAATGCCCTCAAAACGATAGAAACAGAAGTTAAAATCAATTCTCCAGTGAGGGCTACTTCCTGTTCTGTTATTAAAAAGAAAGTCAGCAGTGTGAGCGGAAATTACGTCATTGATCCAGATGGCGAAGGAGGTCTGGCACCATTTCCTGTTTATTGTGATATGACAACTAAACATGGAATTGGCGTGACAGTCATAAGTCACGACAGTGAAAGCAGAACATCAGTGAAAGGATATGAATCTCCGGGTACTTATTTACGAGACGTACGTTACGCAAAAGTGAGCCTCTCTCAGCTGGCAAGTCTCACCAGAGTCTCATCGCATTGTGAACAGTTTATCAAGTACGAGTGTTACGGTTCACTTTTGCATCACAAAAACAATAAATTTGGATAGTGGGTGTCACGTGATTCTACTAAGATGACGTACTGGGGCGGAGCATCTGACAATGGTAAGTGCGCATGCGGGATGACTAACTCGTGTGCATATCCCAGTTATGGCTGTAACTGTGACAAGAATGACTATGTATGGCGTGAAGACAGCGGTCTCCTAACTGACAAGACCAAGCTTCCTGTAATACAACTCAGGTTTGGCGATACTGGCGACGGGCCCGAACAAGGTTACCATACACTTGGAAAACTTAAGTGCTCTGGGACAGTATAGATAGATGCTAGTTGTTGTGATTGCCTTGGATGCACTATTCGCACGAAATCGCATGCGCGAATAATAAGGTGGTATAAGGACCTAAACAAACGCTAATAGTTTCATAAAGAAATCTGCAGACTAACAGCCATGTTTTACATATACAGTAAATACAATAAATACCCGGTCGCAATTCCGTAGGTTTGCTCTTCTCGCTTTTTTTGCTGATATTTATGGTAAACAAACTGTCATGTTTTAACATATTCATAAAACGCTAAATTCTTTCCACGAGAATTAACACCAACCGAAAATCGAGACATGGCACTGATAACCCTGTCTTTTTTTCCTAGTACTGAAGTATGGATATCATTGTTTAAACCTGCGTTCGAAAGTCTTGCAGGTCGTGTTAGAAAGTAGTAAGCAATAGTTTAATACACTCTTTTTTTTTCTATAAGAATATATTTTATAAGAATATCGAGGCTGAAATTTGCAAAATCTTAAGAATACTTTAAGAATAAACTCCAGGCTGAGATTTTGAAAAGGATATAATTTCGTGTGGTGAAAATCTGTAAATACAATACAAATATACCTTCTCAATTTATTCCTTTCTTTAAACGACAAAACTAGCTAACTATATTTAACAAACCTATATTGATACCTTAATATATTCTAATTCGGAAATGTCATAAGCTATTATTAAGAATAATACAAGAATATTTACAGCCTAAAATCGGCAGGAAAATAAGAATATTCAGCCTGGCCCTGGAACTGACAACATTCTTATAAAAAAAAAAAGAGTGTAAACATTTTTTACGTAATTTGAAAAATACTGTCACTGTTATCCACGGCTGCTACTACCGGGGCTGAGCGCATGTGTGAGTTTCTGACTATTATTGTGTGAATGCTTTCGTGGAAAGATATTTTTTACTCTTGTTTGTTATTCACATAGAGGTATCAAGCCAATCAAAACAAGAACGCTCACAGCCTAGACCGAATGACCATTTATCTGCCTTAAAATAAACACCTCACCAAAAGATTTGGAGGTCCCATGCATAAAGATAAAAGGTGTTAAAGTTAAGCCCTGTTTAATCTCCACTTTTAATGTGCAATTTATAAAGTTTAAATACTTTTGCATTAAAAGCGATCCAAAATTTTATTGTGTGTTGGTTAAGCGACTTGTGGCGTGAAAATAGGCAGAAGAGAAGCTTATTAAAACCTTTGAATGCAGAGGTCCACTTAACGCGTAAATAAAACCGACTGGTTCTTTCTTGTCGGATCTCTAATCTAGAGATGCTGATGCCAGAGGTCACTTGAAGTAAGAATTTTAAAAAAACTGAATGCAAGGCTGGCAATACGACAGAGGGGTGATTTATTTCAGGCCAATATTTCGGCTAACAAAATTAGCCTTCTTCAGGGCCACAGCTTGTTATATTTTGTATTTTTAAGATCCTTTGAGGTCAAAAACATAACTTTTTCAAATCAGGTGTGGGCTTTCCGTCATTCCTCAATGCAAAAGTCTTCATACTCAAGCACCGCTACGCCACGCGCACCACGTGACCCTGTAGGAATATGGCAGCACGGAGGAATGAGGTCTAAGGGATTTACCAACGCTGGGTAAATGCATGACAAAACTAAACAAAATGAGCGGAAGGTAATGGGTACGTGAGCTTTAGGAGTTGTAAAGCCGCGTCTGTCACGTCTGTAACCTACTTTTTCTAATATCTTCCTCAGAAAAGGCAAGCAAACAGAAAGAAAATCTTTCAAGTATGTGTTGTAGGTTATATCCGTTCTCAGGTTAAATGACAATTTTTGTCTCCTATGAATAATTAAGGCCTAGAAACCAAAAAAAAAAATACTGACGAAAATTCGGTTGAATCCTTGTCAAAAATGAGAACGGAGTTTACCTACAACATAAACCTGTGGTTAGTTTCTTTACATCTTTAGGCAAGAGCAAATCCATGGACTAAGAGAGGCATTGGGGTTTCGCTGGGTAGATATTGCAAGGATGCTAGAAATGTCTCCGAGGACACTTAGTCGGCAGAGGCAAGAATTTGGTATGCCACTCGGTCAACAGCATAATTTTTCCTCCTGGTTCGACACCTGGACAATATTGTGAGAAGCATTCTCTCAGTTACTCCACTGTGAATTCTACGTAATACTTGACTTTTCTGTATTGCCTTCATAATGAAAGTCACTGTTTACTGTTGCAAGTGATTGTAATCTGGAGTTCATTATCTGTATTAAAAGTTCCAAATCCTGAGTAAGTTGATTCTGCTGCAGGAGTCCTGGGCTGACTCCGTAACTCGACCATGCATCACCCGCAAAGTGCGTTTATATTCCTCTAGACGCCTTGCAAGAAATTCTGCGTGCCCCCTCATCGGTATTTTCTTTCACACAGTCTTCGCAGTGCTGCAAAAGTGAGATCAAACCTTCGAAAAATTCATTTACATTTGGAATATAGAAACGATTAGAAGCCATCTTGAATTCCAACTTGTGTTTTCGTTTTAATTACCTCTCGGAAACAGAAATGATCAAAGACTGTCGTCTATTTTCTTGATTTAAAGAACAAGCATCTTGATTTACAAAAATTATCTCTTGATACATGACAAGAAACACGCGGGAATTAAAATTAAATTCTATAATCTTGACACATTCAAAAAGCAAGTTGATGCTAATTGTATCGATCTTGATAGTGAATTTGTGGATTTGAATTATAAAGTTGCATCTTTGATATTTTGTCACTTTTGGCGTAGCATAGATGCCCATTAATATTTACAAACAAATTCATGATACCAAACGGGTTTTAAACGTTTGTAATCGAAAGATTTTACAACTATACTGCCTTGACGGAAAAAATTACAATTAATTCTCCAAAACCTACCCCGCCGTTTACAGTAAAAAACCTTAGGCACTAAATCGAAATTTTTTCTACATATTTTCATGTGAATATTTCATTCATTGTCCATTTCTCTTTCTAAGCTAGGTTTTGCAAATGACTCACACTCGCAATGCAAGAAAAATCTAAAAACGGACAGCTAGTAAAAAAATAACGAAAGCTCCGGATTTCTCTAATGGGCCTCTTCCGAGTTCGTAAAACTGTTATTTTTAGAACGAGGCTACGTGCAAAACCCTTTCTTGTGAAAATGAGTTATATTTGCATGAGAATAAAGGAACATTTTCATATCAATGGCTTCGCACTTAGCCTCGCTTTGAAACAGAGGCTTGGAGCAACTCAGAAATGGCCCCATTGCAAGGACGATCACATCCACGGAGTCCAGGCCCCATTCTCCTTTGCTACTTGTCGCGCCTTCGGGTCACCTGGTTTATTAGCAGGAGGTAACGCACCACTCATGTAAGACTGCACTCGATCTTGGAACTTCTTTACCATATCCGGGAACTTTTTGCTGAGGTCGTACTTCTCATATGGGTCAGCGGTGATATTGTAGAGGGCTACATCAACAAGGGGAACTGGAGGCTAAAAAACATATAAAAGTCTTGGTACTAAACGTAGCAAAGAAAAATATTAGATTCTACAGCTTGACTCTTAACAAAACAACAAACACATTTTCCACATTAGTAGCAGAAATAGTGGACATCATTATATTAGTTACTTTTTTACCACCCAGGCGAGCAATTCAAATGTACGAGCGCTTTGAACAAGCTCCGAATAAAGGAAGAGAGGGTCTCATTTGGCCCATCAGCGTCGATAAGACTCATTCGCGCAACTTCATAGCTCTAAAATGACAAATCCACGGACTGAATAAACTGCAACTCAGTCCGTATTCAGTTTCAGCGAAAACGGACGTAATAAAGGAACTGAAAAATTGAAAATAAGCTAGGAGAATGAGTCTGAGCATGTCTTGACTTTGTGACCAGTCTCACTTGTGGAAGATTTCAGAGGATCGAGTGGAAACTTGGGAACGAGGTTTTGAAAGCGAAAGGCACCGTGGGAAGATTTCGTTGACCCTTTCCATGGCCCGTCTGTTTTTCGTTTTATTTTGTTTGTTTGTCTGTTTGTTTTGAGGGGAAACAGAGAGAACTGCAAGCAAGCAACCTGGAAGCAAATATTGGCCACAAAGAATACCCGAGGGGACTCCAAATGAAAGCTGTGTATAAACATATCACACTACGTAAGGGAATCCGGATTCTGAAATGTAGGAAAATTTTTGCCTTGGAATCCGAAATCCTGAGCGTTGGAATCTGGAATTTACCTTAAGGAGTCCGGAATCCCGCTAACAATCCACCGAACCGTACCTAAAAAGATGGCGACTGGTACATTTACCCACAGTTCTTAGCGCATGAAAACCATAAAATTGATCATAAAAACGCACAGAAAAGTTTTATAAACTTCAAACCTAGGACAGGCAATGTTGCTATTACAGGGACAAATTTCGCCAAAAAAAAAAAAAAAAAATATGACTTTATGTGTAATTGGCCGTGTTAGGTTCGAAAGGAATTGTGGTAAAATGTACAGCCGCCATCTTTTTCCGTAGGGCGGATTGGAATCTAGAATCCAAGTTCTAGTACATGGAATCCGGAATCCTCGACATTGAGTCCAGAATCCAAGAATGTCTTGGACTCCCGGCCCTTACATGGGGCGATACATAACATAGCCAGTGCACAAAGGACTAATATATCTTCAAGAACTAACTTACACCTTCAAACTCGTACAAATACACTTCATTTCCTTGAGAAGAATTCCGTTCTTCGGGTGATATGAAGTAAGAGATGTTAGGGACCCCCATGAGAAGTTTCATGTCTCCAACACGAAGACCAATTCCTTGATATGCAAAGTCCAACTGGTGTGGAACAGAAGGAGTGTCTACGTTATGAAGAATCTCTGTGCGAGGTGAAGGCTCACCATTAGAAATTGCCTTCCATACGTCGTGACCATCAAGGGCAGCGAGTTCCTCCTGATCCAATTGCCCACCTAAAATATATTGTACCCGACAGACAAGTGAGTTTGTTTACATGAGATGTTAACCTTTTAAAACAATAAAACTGTTCTAGTGAGGCCTTAAACTGCTGTTTAAAAAGTAAAATCCAAAATCCAAGCTTTCACTGATCAACGGCATCATCAGGGATGAGAAAACATTCCGCGCGCGCTATATATATATGCAAAGAAAGTGTGGGGTGAAATGTGTAACAGATGTGACGTGTGTATGAAAGCTATAGGAATAAACTGTGAATGGAATACAACGCTCTCATGATGGAATGTCTCTAAACAAAGCACCTCTTAGATAAAACCGAGAAGACCTGATGGGCTCCTGGGTCAAAAGCACTGTAGCCATGCATATACTCACCAGCCAGATTAACTAAGGTTGGATACCAATCAGTCACGTGAATAAGTCCTGTACAATTCACTCCTTTCCTGGAGAGAATGTCACCATGTACGAACCCTACCCCTCTGATTCCTCCTTCCCATAGAGTGTCTTTTCTTCCCCTCAAGGGGTAGTCATATCCCCCGTTTTTAGGTACTCCACCGTTGTCAGTGCCGAAGATCATAAGAGTATTCTCCCACAACCTTAAAAACAAGATAAATAAAAGAATCGTTGGTTTCTGTTCACTGAAAAGAAATAATAGAGAGCTTTAGATTCGAGAAGGCGGATTACGAGTATACGAGATTTTCTCAATATTAGGTATTGCGCGCGCGTAAACCGGCATCACTTTGGCGGGAAAACGTGATAGCCGTCGTCATTCTAAGCCGGGTTTTGGCAAGAATGTAGAAGTGGGGGAACAAGTTATCACATGTAAGAAGTTTCATCATTTTGCTATTGGGAGAGGGATTAACCTCCTTCAGTATAAATAACCGTACTAACTTTTTGGGTGAAAAAAAAAATATAAAATGAAGCTTTCCAGGAATTCCTTTTAAAAAACACGCGCAAAAACTTAAAGTTAAATCTCGTACTCGCACTCGCTCTTCTACTCAGATCTAAACCTCTCTGCTACCGATCATATATTTGCAATTACTGGGCAGTCGCAAACTATTTTATAACAGACGACAACAATTGATCATCGCGAGCACGACATTTTTCGTCCTTTTAGTTCAACAGGTTCGTCGCTAACATGACTCTGGGGAGGGGGGTGGAGTACTTCGGAGTTAAAGTGACGGGGATGATCGAAAAAGGCAGGTAAATACTTCTGTGAAGTTCTTAATGAAACGAAACAAGTGCGAAAATAAAGGACACTTTCTGTGCAATCAATTTAGTGAACACGTGCCTGATATTTAGTATAATTTGACTTAACTTTTAAAGCCATTTCCTAATGTAGTTTTAGACTTTCTTCCGATCAAGCTGAAGCAACTCCGTTTCGTGTAACATGCGACTGATTTATCTAAATGCCAGGTCACTTTTGTTTCCTTTAGCGTTAACATAAATAAATTGGTTTAATTCCCGGGTTAAATTACAATCAGCAAAGGTCAGACTTCCTGAATCTCTTCATGGCTTTACTGAGGTGTTAAAAGCATTTCAAAAAACCGTCACTCAGTAAATGGGAAGTTGTGAGCCTGCAAAGAGACGTTCAACATGAAATCGCCGACAGAAAACACGCACACAAACGGAAGAAAAACACTCATTGGCTTGTGTTCCACCTCCTGCTTCCTACTGTCCGTCGTTTGCTGTATCGCACTGTTTCACGTGGAATTCAGAATACACGAGCATCGTCGACTCATATCACAGTTGGAAACATTCCGTCAAGAGATTCAAAGAGAAGTCGCTCAAGTTAAACAGGATTGTAAAAAAGGGAGAGTAACCAAAAGTAACCATCCCGACTTTTGGCAAAATACAAAAGGTGGGTGAAAACGAACAGAAAGTGGATATAGGTGACTTTTTGCTAAACCATGGTTTATCCTTTCACGTGGTTTAACTAGTAAACATCGTCGGAGAAACCAAGTTTTTCAGTTACGTATTGGAATCAACTACAGAATACAGGGCCATATTTTAAGTTTTAAAGAACACAGAAAGGGATATATCTTAGTGGCTCGGTGGTTCGTCATTCGAGGTTAGCATCTTAAAGAACGAGAAAGTCATACCGCAAAATTCCGAAAATAAGCCCCGGGGCTCATATATTTCAAAGGAACTTATTGAGGGGCTTATCTACGGAGGGAAATTTGCGTTTCAAAATCAATTGGGCTAGCCGTATACTTGGAAGTAAATTTACCGTTTTTGCTTTGTTTTACTTTGTATTTGAGGGCAATTTTGCAAGTACAAGCCCCCCGGGGGGGAGGGGCTTATATTTGGAGGGGCGATTTAACGGAGGGTTTTTTGCGTTACCGGATTGGGGTGCTTATACATGGAGGGGCTTAATTTCGGAATTTTACGGTATTTTAGTGGCTCGCGGGCTCCGTCCCAACGAATATACCTAGAAAATTGGCCCTGTATTCTGTATTCTGTTATTTAGCTTCTCAAAAAACTGTGCGAGCTTATATGTAGTTCCTATATTCTAATATTAGAACACTACGTACATTTTTCAAGGTCGCAAAGTTATATACAGAGAAAAACGTGATTCATCAGATGCCTCTCAAAACAAATCGGTTACAAAAGCCTCCGAAGTAAAAAAGCTGATCAAAAAAGAGCTTCGCCAGTTACAGAAAAAAATCTGTGCCAAAGATGAAAAGCTCTGTCTACCAGGACCAAAAGGTAACACAGGAAGACGGGGAAGACGAGGACCCCACGGTATACCGGGCCCCAGAGGGAGATCCGGCCCAGCGGGGACTCCCGGTAAAAATGGACCAATAGGACCACGGGGACCAATGGGTATAAAGGGGGATCGCGGATTGCCAGGTCTGCCAGGACCTCCTGGTCCCAGAGGTCCGCCTGGTGAGAAAGGTGCGCCGGGACAATCCATCTCAGCTCCCTCCTTGTTACAGCCTCCTGTTGAAACGACAATCAATGCAAGTCAGACAGCCATCTTGAAATGTACAGCGGCTGGAAATCCTCCTCCCAAAGTCACATGGTTTAAGGTGAACTCAACACTTCCTGTCGGACGTCACGTTGTAGAGTCGAGTGGCGCTCTGATTCTTCAGGATATTAGACCTGAAGACGAGGGCCAGTACACCTGCAAAGCTGAAAACGTGCTGGGAACCATCAACGCCAGCGCACGGCTAACAGTGCAGTGTAAGTTGCATTTCATTCTTCAAGATTTCAAGACGTTTTTTATCTCTCCCTAATACACTTTTTGACATGTTGTAGGAGTATTCTAACGGACACTTACAGCTAGTCCCTTATTGCCGTTCTTTAGTTACTTCCTCTGACCTTCAATATAAGATGCACAATTCTCTAAAACGATCGGTTAGTAATGGTCAAAGTGGTGTGATAGAGTATTTTGATGGCAGAATAAACGTGCTTTCTAGTTCTTGCCGATTCCACTCTTTATTGAATTGTCTTCAAATCACCTGATCTGAAGCAACGTAAATAAAAAAACGTATAAAGAAAAACTATAGTATAAAGTTATGTCGATGAATTTGATTCATTTGTCATGATCTTTTTAAGAGCGGCCGTCCGTAAATATCGCCTGGGGGTGTGCAAAATGAAAAAATCGAAAATCCCCAAACTTTGTCAGAATATAGGTCTAGGTAAACTATTTCTAGAAAAATAACTTTTAGTTCGATTGGATTTTATTTTACGCGGACGGCGACCGAGTCGGTTCGGAGGCTCTCAGATCAGTTTTCACAGGCTCAAGACCATATATTACTTAAAAATCGTTTAAAATTAAAGAAGTAACAAACTCTGCATCTGAAAATCTTAATAGAAAGAACACAACCTAACCAATTTTCTACGGCTTCTGGAGTTTATTTCTTAGAGTTTCGTAGTGGGCAACAAATTCAATAGAAACGTTTATAATTGTTAACAACAATCTTTAAAAAGGCTCTAACTTATCACTAGTTAAAATATGAGAGAGAATAAACTGACTTGACCGACTGAACACACTATGACAACCTTCCACTTCCGGTTTAAGACATAAACTGCACTGAGCTGTGGACGAAGATCCTGTGTGCTGGTTGCCACTGTTTGATCTCTAGGAAAAAAGATCTAATCAGCTAAAATATTGAAAAAATAAATACTGAGACTACTGCAACGTGTATCACTCGAGTACGCAACGGCGTCAGCAGCTGCAAGATTGGCAGGAACCTTTGTCGCTAATAGGAAAAACTGTTTGAATGCAGGAGGTCCACGCAACGCGTAAATACAACTGACTGGTTCCTAGTTCCTAGTTTGCTATGATTTTGTCATCCACAAAGAGAACATCTTAAGCTCTTCCAGTGAGAGAGCATTCTGCCTTAACTCTTGAACCGAAAAAGGACAGCAGAGGCGTGCAGCGTTCTGCCTTTAATGTACATACTGTTGTACCATATTTGGACTATTATCACAGGATACCAATCCATAATGGAAATGTAGTCACATCTGAGACATCCATATTTGGAATCTATAAACATACGATACCTAACCGATCAAAACGCAAGCAATTTTCTAGCGAAATTTCTTGTGAATTTCTAAAGAAAACGTGTTGAAATATCAACTATGTGTGAATGTAATTTAAAAATGGTGAAAATATACCGAAAATGTGCTAACTTTGAGAGTGGCTCACTCTCCGAAAAGCTGCTCAGAATCGAAAAAGTAGCTCAAAATCGTACAAGTTGCTAAAAAGTTACGCAGCAGAATCTCTCTAGGCCTAGGTTTAAATTTAGCTGAAACTTTGTTTTTCTTTCGGCTGTCTTTTACACTTAGCGTCAGTAACATCCAATTCCACACAACGACTCCATGCCCCACCCTACCTCCCTGCACGCACACAAGCCTTGAGACACAATCCCTCGTTAGCTTGGATGCCAGAAGATTTATCAGTAAGGCCATTCAACTACTCAGTCCCAAAAGGGTAAATTTGCCTATCAGCTTACCAGCTTTTCTGTTACTACACAATGAAATTGGAAGAATACTGTGCTGGGAAATGTTAGAAGAGAGCAGGTGGACATGCTTAAGATGTCAGTAATTAGTTACAAGAGCAGGAATTTACGCGTTCATCGATCAGTTTCACTGAAATATCTTCGTTTTCCACATCAGCATATCAAAGGCAACATTGACTAACGACACGGGGTACCCAACAGAGTTTTATACGGGGAGTCACTGCCACAGGAATGAACCCATCACCCATGTTTATACCATTTTTGGCTGAAAAGGTGTCCTCTTTCGCGTACTTTCCTTTAAAAAATGATGTCCCTTAAAAAGTCACTTTTCTTTGCATCCCTTTAAACTGCTTTGAATGCTCTGTCCCTCTCTTTTTCTTTTTTTAAACTGTATGAATAGACAAAAAACCAAGATATTTTCTCTGCATTTTGTTCCTTAATCCTTCCTTTTGGGTCCTTTTCTCAACCTTTCATATATACTTTTAATATTAAAATCACTTCCCTCCAATATACCTGAAACCTTAGCTATCCCTTTCGGGCGGAGCCAGTTATCGTATACGCTATTATCATAGAGAGTTCTCCGGGCGCTTAGCTGGGGTAAACTTTCCAAAAGGCTGTGCTTTTTTAGTCCTCGAGCAACACAAAACTTTAACGGGGGGATAAAAAAGAACAAAAAATGAATACAGATGCAAGATGAATTCGAACGTTAGGTTACAGATGCGAGATTTGAATATACATAGTAAACAGAAAATGATAGGCTACGTATACTAAAAAGATAAATGTCACTTTCTGAGTTCATCATGTTGATTGATACCACGGGGTTCAAATGCCGTTTTATTTTTGTTTTCTTTCTTTCTTTTTTTCTGTCACTCTTCCTGCCGTAAGGATCAGTTTACTGTTTTAATTTTAAAATCTGGTCAGTACTGAAGATGTTACTTATCTAGGCCTACTAAAGATCTCGCTGATCGACCTTCACTAGTTTGTCATCGTAGTTTTGCCTTGACAAGTGTCCGTATTACTGAGCTGCCTGAGGCAGGAATTTCATCGCACAGTCTTGAGTAATTAATATTAAGTATTCCACCAGGTTTTCTTCGATGATTGTACGAAATGGATGGGAAATTTATACCTCCTTCCCTGCAAACAAGGATGGGAAAATGATGCGGTTTCATCCATGATTTGGAAGGGGGGGGGGGTTGGAATTGCTGTTTCATTTTTCATGATTCTGTCCAAGATTGTAGCTCCATGGGGTCTTCTTATAATCTGATGATCTTTTGGCTTAAAATAAGCATGCCAGGATCAGCAGACGAGATATCCCAAAATAATAGATAACGCCTGTGGCATAATTTTTTGTTTCTCAAAAGTTTCGTACTCAGTTCGTCGTACTTTCAACTAGCCAACGTTAACTGAAACACCCTTTTTACTTTTAGATTTTAATTTTATGAAGGATTTAGTGCATTATGTAGCACAAATCTTGCTTTTCCTGTTACTTGAGAACTGTTCAGACACAGTGATGCTGACATTACCCTCCCCGGCCCGCTGGAGCATCACCCTACCCTAGGACAAAAGTGAGTAACGCATTCTCCTTCCCGCTCCGAGCAGGTACGGTGATGTGAGGAGACCGCAATAGCCGGTTATATATATCCAAAACATCTTCATTTCCTAAGAGATAAGCATTATATTTAGTCTTTATACATCGTTATGTAAGTCAACGTCGGTAAATTGGTTCTCTTATGCACATGAATCCAGTTGGTAGTAAGTTTTGAAACACGTGATCCGAATGCTGTCAAACATTGACCGCCGGTTAAAATTAGGCTTTCGGCTGCCAACGGGCGCGTTGTAAGTGAAATAATTAGGCAAAAGAAATGCAAATAAGTCGAGTGTAATCAATATCGCTCAACAGCAAAGAGCTTTGGAGGAATCTGGTCAATAGAGCATTTTTCATCGATGTAACCGCCTTCGAATGTCGTGACAAAACGGCGTGTTTTGACCTCAAGGGTCGCTTTTGTTAGGCGTTCAAAAATCTACCCTTCAGGATTGCCCAAAAATTTTATTGCATTTGTTTGAGGAAGACACCTTGCTCTTTCTATCGGTAGGTAAGTTATGGCTCAAAGCCGTATACCAAGGAGTGATTTTTGTGTCTGAAATTTGCCAATTTTATGTCTGTCAAAAATCGGTAAAATAAGTAAAATAATTAAAAATCCGAAACATATTAGATTTGCTGTCGAATAGGAAAATTGTACATTGAAACTATTGGTTACGTTGTGTTCTTTCTATTAAGATTTTCAGAGGCAGAGTTTGTTACTTCTTTAATTTTTAAACGATTTTTAAGTAATATATGGTCTTGAGCCTGTGAAAACTGATCTGAGAGCCTCCGAACCGACTCGGTCACCGTACGCGTAAAATAAAAATCCAATGGAACTAAAAGTTATTTTTCTAGAAATAGTTTACCTAGACCTATATCTGACAAAGTTTGGGGATTTTCGATTTTTTCATTTTGCACACCCCCAGGCGATATTTACGGACGGCCGCTCTTAAAGAAACCAATGAATTGCGGAGAAGTCTTAATCATGAGGAAACAAGTTATTTTGATTTTGAGGGTCACTGTAAGTGTTTTCCTAAAATAAACCATTTTCCTTGGCATTGGCTGCATACGACTGGTGTACTACAAAAAACTAGCAATTTAGAAGTCTAATTTTAAAGAATGTTCACGTTCGCTTATTGATAGAGGTGACCGCTGAATAGGGGTCAAGATTAAAACAAATAATTGATAACTACTATTTTTTGCCGGTGCACGTTGTCGTTGCGCAAAGGTGTCGTAAGAGAAGGTTCGACTATATTTGCTAAAAATTCCACGATATTAGAATAGCAGAGAGTATTCTGTCACCAGAATAAAAGCGATTTATCTATTTCTTGCCAGTTGGTCCCCAGATATTATTGTCATCAAATCGCCTGATGGCTGAACAAAAGCAAAACTTCACCATCGCCTGCACTGCCACTGGTCAGCCTCAACCCAAGATCACGTGGTCCAAGCTAGGAGGAGATTTGCCAAAAGGAAGAAGTGAGGTAATGAACGACGCTCTGACAATCTATCAAGTGACAAGAAACGACGGTGGCATATACACGTGTAAAGCAGATAATATCCTGGGAACAGCGACAGATATGGCTCAGTTGATTGTTTTTTCGCCTCTTCGGTTCAAACTTCGACCACCTCAAGAACTGACTCCTATGGTTGACTCAACTGTTCGCCTACCTTGTGTGGCCGAGAGTGACCTGAGACTTACCATAACTTGGACAAAGGATGGATCCATACTTACTGTTGAATCAAGGATTCTTCAAAACAACACTCTAGTTCTTGGCAGCATCAAAATATCACATAAAGGATCTTACACCTGCAGAGCGAGTAATTCTTTGTCAACAATAGAAACCAACGTAAAAATCAATTCTCCAGTTACACCTGCTTCCTGTTCTGAGATCAGAAAACACGTCAGCAGTGTAAGCGGAAATTACGACATTGATCCAGATGGCGAGGGGGGTCTGGCACCATTCACTGTTTATTGTGATATGACAGCTAAAAATGGAGTTGGCGTGACAGTCATCAGTCACGACAGTGAAAGCAGAACATACGTGAAAGGATATGAGGCTAGGGGAAGTTACTCGCGTGACATTCGTTACACAGGAGCGAGTCTTTCTCAGCTGGCAAGTCTCACCAGAGTGTCCTCGAATTGTGAACAGTTTATCAAGTATGAATGTACAGGTAACGCTCTCCTTCAAAATGGCGCCTTTAATGGCTGGTGGGTGTCACGTGATTCCGCTAAGATGACGTACTGGGGAGGAGCATCTGGCAATGCTAAGTGCGCATGCGGGATGACTAACTCATGTGCACACGCCAGTTATGGCTGTAACTGTGATAACGAATCCTATAGATGGCAGGATGACAGCGGTCTGCTCACTGACAAGACGACGCTTCCTGTAAAACAACTCAGGTTTGGGGATACTGGTGACAGCGGAGAACAAGGTTACCACACGCTCGGAAAACTAAAGTGCTTTGGAACCGCATAAATAGATGCTAGTTCTTGTGACTCCAAACCCGACAAGTAAAAAAAAATATGTGTAACCTTAAAAGTTCATAAAGAAACCTGAAGAGAGACTCACAGCGATCCTTGTTTTACATGTACAGTAAATACAATAGCCCACCTTCGATATATTAAAACTCTAACATGACTCCGAGGCTATAGGGTCAAAATTGCAAATTTCTCACGACTCCATTGTCTCGCAATTCCCAGAAGAGACTTGAGGACAAAGAAAACCAAACCAAATGTAGAAAAATGACCAGAAAGCCTCGGAGTCATGTTAGAATTTTAATGTATCGAACGTGGGCTATTAAAACCCGGTCGAACATCCGTAGGCTAGCTCTTCTCGCTTTTTTACTGATGTTTATGGTAAACAACCTGTCGCGGTTCAACATATTCATCAAACTCTAAATTCTTTTCACGAGAATTAACACCAACCGAAAATAGAGACATGGCACTAATAACTCTGTCTTTTTCCCCTAGTACTGAAGTATCGATATGATTGTTTTAACCTGTTTTCGAAAGTCTTGCAGGTCGTGTTAGAGAGTAATAAGCAATAGTTTAATAAATGTTTTTTATGTATTCTGAAAAATCCTGTCACTGTTGTCGACGGCTGCTACTACCGGGGCTGAGCGCACGCATGGGATTCTGGCTATATCGTGTCAATGTTTTGTTGGAGAGAGATACTATTTCTCTTGTTTGTTCTTCCCATAGAGGTATCAAACGAATCATGAAAAACCGCGCTTCATTTAAGCGTCAATGCAATTAGCACAAAATAACTAATTGAGGACAACATTTTTATGTCTCCTACTGGAGACGGGACCGCCATTTTATTCAGTTTGTCATTCGAGCCCCATGAAGGCAAAGCTGTTTGCAAGGAAAAGGCAGTACCTTTACTCTCAGTTATTTTAAGACCCTAAGTATTGCTCCAGCCCTAATGATCGATCAAACCAGCGACCATAAGCTCGGCAGTAAACGTTTTACCAACTGAGCTAGTCCTGACGTAGTCTCATTTGAGACCTTTAAGAGCTTCTTCATCACCGCGGTTTTTAAAAGGTTTATTTAAACTTAATTGCCTGCATACAAAACAATCTCCGCTCATAATTCAGGGTTGGTTATAAAAACATAGTTCAAACGGATAAAACACTTTTAAATTTGACAAACCCTCCCATCTAAGCATTGTTTGCTATTAACAGCGTCAAGAACGCTCACAGCCTAGACTTTTTTTATCTACTTAAAAGTCAACACTTCACCAACAGATTTAAAGGTCTTATAAATAAAGATAAAAAGTGTAAAACTTAAGCTCTGTTAAAGCTCCACTTTTAAAGTGTTATTTATAAAGTTAAAATAGTTTGGGATAAGAAACAATCTCAAATTCCAGTGTGCGAATATGGTACGTTGGTTGAGCGACATGGGTGGCGTCAAAATAGACAGAAGAGAAGCTTGTTATATTTTGTTAATTTTAAGATCCTTTGAGGTTTGAAAAGAACTTTTTCACATCAGTTGTGGGCCTTCTGTTGTTCCTGAACGCAAAAGTCTTCATGGTTAAGCATCGTTACCCTAAGCGCACCACTTGACCCGGCAGGAATATGACAACGCGGAGGAATGAGGTCTAAGGGATTTACCAACGCTGGGTAAATGCCAGACAAAACGAAACAAAATGGGCGGAAGGTAATGGGCACGTGAGCTTTAGGCGTTGTGAAAAAACTAAAGCCGCGTCTGTCACGTCTGTAACGTACCTTTTGTAATATCTTCCTCAGGAAAGACAAGGAAACAGACAAACAAGCTTTCAAGTGTATGTGTCGTAGGTTGTATTCGTTCCCAGGTTAAATCACAATTTTGTCTCCTGTGAATAATTAGGGCCTAGAAACAAAAAGAAAATACTGAAGAAAATTCGGTTGAATCCTTGTCAAAAATGAGAACGGAATTTACCTAGAACATAAACCAGTGGTTAGTTTCTTTACATTATCACTTGACGACGCAAAGCAAATCCTGAACTTCCTAATTTGCCGCTCTGAGTTTAACGTTTAGAGGTCATGAAGCTGGTCTGTTTCATGCATATTGAGTAATTTATTTCCTGTGGTCTGGAGCGCGATGTCCTACTGTTCCTCCGTTCGCAATTCCTTTTGTTCTAGCTTGATAGTCTATGGGACTGTACAGGTAGTGCATTTTTTTGTTATAAGTGCCCAAAGCAAGACTGCAGTTTCGGAATTAAAAGATACCTTGTCTAAGGTCACGTTTATTCTCGTTCAGCCTGTCAACACTATTTCAAACCGGATGTTTTCCTTAGCGCGTTCAGCCAACAACAAAAGGTTTTCTATTTGGGAAAGGTAATAGCCAATCAGAAAATACCTACCATATTCGCAAAAGTGGGTGACGTCACCGGGCAAATTACAACGCTCGGAATTCAGTCGTCTCTCTCTACCCCGCCCCCCCTCCCCACGGATTACTGGCTGGAGACGTGTGACATTTCAGACTATCCCAACCACTCTTTTACTTGTCATTTCATAATGTCACTCATATTCGTTAAGATATAAGTGGGTCATTTGTTTAGAAATGCCGCATGTCACGGGCCTGGTTATTCAGTTTCTCGAGTTTCACAAAAGACATTTGCTTCACTGATTTCAAGGGCCATTAACTTACTCGGTCTTTCTGAAAACGTAGGCCCAAAAAGACAGTTTAATCATGAAACAATGGAATGCAGAAGAGAAGCATAAGACTGGAAGTAAAACATTTGAGAGCTTGAGTTGCAAGTCAGGTTTGCTGCTGTCTATTGCGTGCTGTATCGCACTTATTCACGTAGAACTTCGAGTACAAGAACATCATAACCTGATTTCACACTCAGTGGCATTCTGTGGTCAGTTGGAAACACAAATCCTTAGAGCTCAACAGAAAAATGGAAGATGGAAAATCACCGAAAGCAGCCCTTCAGATTTGGAGCAAGAAACAGAGGGTGAGTAACTGAGAATTTTAAAAGCGGAAATAGCTAAGCTCTTTGCCACGACCAAGGCCTCTACTTCTCCTTGTGCAGATATCATTATAACATAGCCAGAATATTCGCCTATTCAAATTCAATAGCGCGAGTGTGCTTCATATTCCCGTTGAGCACGCTGATGATGTCAATAAACTATACCTCGAGTTCTTGTGAGCTTAGCAATCCTCCCAAGACGTCTCCCAAGAGCATCCATAACTCAACAGTACACGATGAAGCGTTAACCATGTGGTTAATAATGTAAATTTAAGAGAAAACTTTTAAATTTGCTAACCGATAGCAGAGAGAAGAGTAGTCTTACCTACAAGTCGAGCTCAAATTTTTTCACGAGCGCGAAGCGCGAACGGTAGATTTTTTCTGTTTTCTGCGGCAAAAGCGAGCGGGAAAGCGAGAGCTCGAACTTCGCGCTGAGGCCAACCACCGGAACCGGAAATGAGAAACGAAGGACTTTGAGAAAGTCTAGGAAAAGAGTTGAGTGTTGTTGCGGTTTTGTCATCTGCGCGAGCTGTGCGGGCTATGGCGTGTGCAAATCGTTCTTTTCACAGCTATTTCTTTCAAAAAGAATTTTTTGGTGAATTAATAGTTTTTCGGTTCCTCAATATGGCTTTTACAATCCATTTGACCGTTATCTTAAGCGACTTGATTAAACTTTATTCTCTCAGTTTCAAGACAAAAACATAACTGTGAGGTAAAAAAATATAGTCACGTAGACACTGAAGCGTACTGCTTTAAACGCGAGCTATAAAAATAAAAATGTAAGGTAACTGCTGCATTAATGCATAATGTTTTAAAACAATTAGGAGATGACCATTTAACTAGCATTTACTGTTTACCTTGAGTGATTTCTTAAAGATGTATGATTAATGTGCTACAGTCTTTTAAGAATGGCTTTTATTTTTGAGGTCAAAAAACCAAATCAAGACAAAGACGTGCTTCACCCAGTGACTCACAAGCGAAACCGGTAAAAACAGCCTCTGATGTAAAACAGCTGATCAAAGATGAACTTCGTTTGCTGCAAAATCAATTCTGTGCCAAAGATGAAAAGCTTTGTCGACCAGGACCAAAAGGTAACACAGGAAGACGGGGAAGACGAGGACCCCAAGGTATACCAGGTCCCCGAGGGAGAACCGGACCAGCAGGACCTCCCGGTAAACATGGACCAGTAGGACCACAAGGACCAATTGGTAAAGAAGGAGTTCGCGGAATGCAGGGTCCCGCGGGACCCCCCGGTCCCAGAGGTCCGCCGGGTAAGAAAGGCGCACCGGGACAATCTATCTCGGCTCCCTCCCTGTTACAACAGCCTGTTGAAACGACAGTCAATGAAAGCCAGACAGCCATCTTGAAATGTACAGCGGTTGGCAATCCTCCTCCCAAGGTCACATGGTCTAAGGTGAATTCATCACTTCCTGTCGGTCGTCACGTGGTAGAGTCCAGTGGCGCTCTGATTCTTCAGGATGTTAGACCTGGACACGAAGGCCAGTACACCTGCAAAGCTGAAAATTTGCTGGGAAGCATCAACGCAACAGCGAAGCTAACAGTGCAGTGTAAGTTCCAACTTTTTAATCTAAGGCTTTAAGCAATGATGTTCATTACTCCGTAACACATTATCTATTTCTTGTCAGTTCCTCCTTCTATTGTACTGTCATCACATCGCCTGATGGTTGAAGAGAAACAAAACGTCACTATCGCCTGCACTGCTACTGGTCAGCCGAAACCCAAAATCACGTGGTCCAAGTCAGTTAACAAACTGCCCAAAGACAGAAACAAAGTGGTGAATGGAGCCCTCACAATCTATCATGCAGTAAAAAAGGACGGTGGAACATACATTTGTAAAGCAGACAATACTCTTAGTTCAGCAACAGATACGGCTCAACTCATGGTTTTCTCGCCTCTACGGTTTAAAGTCAAACCTCCCAAAGAAGTGCACACTGCAATTGGATACACTGTCCATCTACCGTGTATGGCCGAGAGTGACCTGAGACCTGTAATTTCTTGGTCAAAGGATGGCTCTATACTTCCTGTTGGTTCGAGGATTCTTAAAAATAACACTCTCGTACTAAACAGCATCAAAAAATCACACAAAGGATCTTATACCTGCAGAGCAACTAATGCCCTCAAAACGATAGAAACAGAGGTTAAAATCAATTCTCCAGTGAGGGCTACTTCCTGTTCTGTTATTAAAAAGAACGTCAGCAGTGTGAGCGGAAATTACGTCATTGATCCAGATGGCGAAGGAGGTCTGGCACCATTTCCTGTTTATTGTGATATGACAACTAAACATGGAATTGGCGTAACAGTCATAAGTCACGACAGTGAAAGCAGAACATCCGTGAAAGGATATGAATCTCCGGGTACTTATTTACGAGATGTTCGTTACGCAAAAGTGAGCCTCTCTCAGCTGGCAAGTCTCACCAGAGTCTCATCGCATTGTGAACAGTTTATCAAGTACGAGTGTTACGGTTCACTTTTGCATCACAAAAACAATAAATTTGGATGGTGGGTGTCACGTGATTCTACTAAGATGACGTACTGGGGCGGAGCATCTGACAATGGTAAGTGCGCATGCGGGATGACTAACTCGTGTGCATATCCCAGTTATGGCTGTAACTGTGACAAGAATGACTATGTATGGCGTGAAGACAGCGGTCTCCTCACTGACAAGACCAAGCTTCCTGTAATACAACTCAGGTTTGGCGATACTGGCGACGGGCCCGAACAAGGTTACCATACACTTGGAAAACTTAAGTGCTCTGGGACAGTATAGATAGATGCTAGTTGTTGTGATTGCCTTGGATGCACTATTCGCACGAAATCGCATGCGCGAATAATAAGGTGGTATAAGGACCTGAACAAACGCTAATAGTTTCATAAAGAAATCTGCAGACTAACAGCCTTGTTTTACATATACAGTAAATACAATAAATACCCGGTCGCAATTCCGTAGGTTTGCTCTTCTCGCTTTTTTTGCTGATATTTATGGTAAACAAACTGTCATGTTTTAACATATTCATAAAACGCTAAATTCTTTCCACGAGAATTAACACCAACCGAAAATCGAGACATGGCACTGATAACCCTGTCTTTTTTCCTAGTACTGAAGTATGGATATCATTGTTTAAACCTGCGTTCGAACGTCTTGCAGGTCGTGTTAGAAAGTAGTAAGCAATAGTTTAATACACTCTTTTTTTTTCTATAAGAATATATTTTATAAGAATATCGAGGCTGAAGTTTGCAAAATCTTAAGAATACTTTAAGAATAAACTCCAGGCTGAGATTTTGAAAAGGATATAATTTCGTGTGGTGAAAATCTGTAAATACAATACAAATATACCTTCTCAATTTATTCCTTTCTTTAAACGACAAAACTAGCTAACTATATTTAACAAACCTATATTGATACCTTAATATATTCTAATTCGGAAATGTCATAAGCTATTATTAAGAATAATACAAGAATATTTACAGCCTAAAATCGGCAGGAAAATAAGAATATTCAGCCTGGCCCTGGAAAACAACATTCTTATAAAAAAAAAAGAGTGTAAACATTTTTTACGTAATTTGAAAAATACTGTCACTGTTATTCACGGCTGCTACTACCGGGGCTGAGCGCATGTGTGAGTTTCTGACTATTATTGTGTGAATGCTTTCGTGGAAAGATATTTTTTACTCTTGTTTGTTATTCACATAGAGGTATCAAGCCAATCAAAACAAGAACGCTCACAGCCTAGACCGAATGACCATTTATCTGTCTTAAAATAAACACCTCACCAAAAGATTTGGAGGTCCCATGCATAAAGATAAAAGGTGTTAAAGTTAAGCTCTGTTTAATCTCCACTTTTAATGTGCAATTTATAAAGTTTAAATACTTTTGCATTAAAAGCGATCCAAAATTTCATTGTGTGTTGGTTAAGCGACTTGTGGCGTGAAAATAGGCAGAAGAGAAGCTTATTAAAACCTTTGAATGCAGAGGTCCACTTAACGCGTAAATAAAACCGACTGGTTCTTTCTTGTCGGATCTCTAATCTAGAGATGCTGATGCCAGAGGTCACTTGAAGTAAGAATTTTAAAAAACTGAATGCAAGGCTGGCAATACGACAAAGGGGTGATTTATTTCAGGCCAATATTTCGGCTAACAAAATTAGCCTTCTTCAGGGCCACAGCTTGTTATATTTTGTATTTTTAAGATCCTTTGAGGTCAAAAACATAACTTTTTCAAATCAGGTGTGGGCTTTCCGTCATTCCTCAATGCAAAAGTCTTCATACTCAAGCACCGCTACGCCACGCGCACCACGTGACCCTGTAGGAATATGGCAGCACGGAGGAATGAGGTCTAAGGGATTTACCAACGCTGGGTAAATGCAAGACAAAACTAAACAAAATGAGCGGAAGGTAATGGGTACGTGAGCTTTAGGAGTTGTAAAGCCGCGTCTGTCACGTCTGTAACCTACTTTTTCTAATATCTTCCTCAGAAAAGACAAGCAAACAGAAAGACAAGCTTTCAAGTGTATGTGTTGTAGGTTATATCCGTTCTCAGGTTAAATCACAATTTTTGTCTCCTATGAATAATTAGGGCCTAGAAACAAAAAAAGAAAATACTGACGAAAATTCGGTTGAATCCTTGTCAAAAATGAGAACAGAGTTTACCTACAACATAAACCTGTGGTTAGTTTCTTTACATCTTTAGGCAAGAGCAAATCCATGGACTAAGAGAGGCATTGGGGTTTCGCTGGGTAGATATTGCAAGGATGCTAGAAATGTCTCCGAGGACACTTAGTCGGCAGAGGTAAGAATTTGGTATGCCACTCGGTCAACAGCATAATTTTTCCTCCTGGTTCGACACCTGGACAATATTGTGAGAAGCATTCTCTCAGTTACTCCACTGTGAATTCTACGTAATACTTGACTTTTCTGTATTGCCTTCATAATGAAAGTCACTGTTTACTGTTGCAAGTGATTGTAATCTGGAGTTCATTATCTGTATTAAAAGTTCCAAATCCTGAGTAAGTTGATTCTGCTGCAGTAGTCCTGGGCTGACTCCGTAACTCCACCATGCATCACCCGCAAAGTGCGTTTATATTCCTCTAGACGCCTTGCAAGAAATTCTGCGTGCCCCTCATCGGTATTTTCTTTCACGCAGTCTTCGCAGTGCTGCAAAAGTGAGATCAAACCTTCGAAAAATTCATTTACATTTGGAATATAGAAACGATTAGAAGCCATCTTGAATTCCAACTTGTGTTCCCGTTTTAATTACCTCTCGGAAACAGAAATGATCAAAAACTGTCGTCTATTTTCTTGATTTAAAGAACAAGCATCTTGATTTGCAAAAATTATCTCTTGATACATGACAAGAAACACGCGGGAATTAAAATTAAATTCTATAATCTTGACACATTCAAAAAGCAAGCTGATGCTAATTGTATCGATCTTGATAGTGAATTTGTGGATTTGAATTATAAAGTTGCATTTTGTCACTTTTGGCGTAGCATAGATGCCCATTAATATTTACAAACAAATTCATGATACCAAACGGGTTTTAAACGTTTGTAATCGAAAGATTCTACATCTATACTGCCTTGACGGAAAAAATTACAATTAATTCTCCAAAACCTACCCTGCCGTTTACAGTTAAAAAACCTTAGGCACTAAATCGAAATTTTTTCTACATATTTTCATGTGAATATTTCATTCATTGTCCATTTCTCTTTCTAAGCTAGGTTTTGCAAATGACTCACACTCGCAATGCAAGAAAAATCTAAAAACGGACAGCTAGTAAAAAAATAACGAAAGCTCCGGATTTCTCTAATGGGCCTCTTCCGAGTTCGTAAAACTGTTATTTTTAGAACGAGGCTAAGTGCAAAACCCTTTCTTGTGAAAATGAGTTATATTTGCATGAGAATAAAGGAACATTTTCATATCAATGGCTTCGCACTTAGCGTCGCTTTGAAACAGAGGCTTGGAGCAACTCAGAAATGGCCCATTGCAAGGACGATCACATCCACGGAGTCCAGGCCCCATTCTCCTTTGCTACTTGTCGCGCCTTCGGGTCACCTGGTTTATTAGCAGGAGTAACGCACCACTCATGTACGACTGCACTCGATCTTGGAACTTCTCTACCATATCCGGGAACTTTTTGCTGAGGTCGTACTTCTCATATGGGTCAGCGGTGATATTGTAGAGGGCTACATCAACAAGGGGAACTGGAGGCTAAAAAACATATAAAAGTCTTGGTACTAAACGTAGCAAAGAAAAATATTAGATTCTACAGCTTGACTCTTAACAAAACAACAAGCACATTTTCCACACTAGTCATATCGCGCAGAAATAGTGGACATCATTATATTAGTTATTTTTTTACCACCCAAGCGAGCAATTCAAATGTACGAGCGCTTTGAACAAGCTCCGAATAAAATAAGAAAGGGTCTCATTTGGCCCATCAGCGTTGATAAGACTCATTCGCACAACTTCGTAGCTCTAACATGACAAATCCACGGACTGAATAAACTGCAACTCAGTCCGTGTTCAGTTTCAGCGAAAACGGACGTAACAAAGGAACTGAAAAATTGTAAATAAGCTAGGAGAATGAGTCTGAGCATGTCTTACTTTGTGACCAGTCTCACTTGTGGAACATTTCAGAGGATCGAGTGGAAACTTGGGAACGAGCTTTTGAAAGCGAAAGGCACCATGGGACGATTTGGTTGACCCTTTCCATGGCCCGTCTGTTTTCCGTTTTATGTTGTTTGTTTGTCTGTTTGTTTTGAGGGGAAACAGAGAGAACTGCAAGCAAGCAACCTGGAAGCAAATATTGGCCACAAAGAATACCCGAGGGGACTCCAAATGAAAGCTGTGTATGTCAGACATATCACACCAAGTAAGGGAATCCGGATTCTGGAATGTAGGAAAATTTTTGCCTTGGAATCCGAAATCCTGAGCGTTGGAATCCGAAATTTAGCTTAAGGAATCCGGAATCCCGCTAACAATCCACCGCACCGTACCTAAAAAGATGGCCACTAGTACATTTACCCACAGTTCTTAGCGCATGAAAACCATAAAACGCACAGAAAAGTTTTATAAACTTCAAACCTAGGACAGGCAATGTTGCTATTACAGGAACAAATTTCGCCTCCCCCCCCCCCCCCCCAAAAAAAATATGACTTTATGTGTAATTGGCCGTGTTAGGTTCGAAAGGAATTGAGGTAAAATGTACAGCCGCCATCTTTTTCCGTAGGGCGGACTGGAATCTAGAATCCAAGTTCCAGTACCAGGAATCCGGAATCCACGACATGGAGTCCAGAATCCAAGAATGTCTTGGACTCCCGGCCCTTACATGGGGCGATACATAACATAGCCAGTGGACAAAGGAGTAATATATCTTCAAGAACTAACTTACATCTTCAAACTCGTACAAATACACTTCATTTCCTTGAGAAGAATTCCGTTCTTCAGGTGGTATGAAGTAAGAGATGTTAGGGACCCCCATGAGAAGTTTCATGTCTCCAACACGAAGACCAATTCCTTGATATGCAAAGTCCAGCTGGTGTGGAACAGAAGGAGTGTCTACGTTATGAAGAATCTCTGTGCGAGGTGAAGGCTCACCATTAGAAATTGCCTTCCATACGTCGTAACCATCAAGGGCAGCGAGTTCCTCCTGCTCCAATTGCCCACCTAAAATATATTATACCCGACAGACAAGTGAGTTTGTTTACATGAGATGTTAACCTTTTAAAACTATAGAACTGTTCTAGTGAGGCCTTAAACTGCTGTTTAAAAAGTAAAATCCAAAATCCAAGCTTTCACTGATCAACGGCATCATCAGGGATGAGAAAATATTCCGCGCGCGTTATATATATGCAAAGAAAGTGTGGGGTGAAATATGTAAAAAGATGTGACGTATGTATGAAAGCTATAGGAATAAATGAACTGTGAATGGAATACCAAGCTCTCATGATGGAATGTCTCTAGACAAAGCACCTCTTAGATAAAACCGAGAAGACCTCCTGGGCTCCTGGGTCAAAAGCACTGTAGCCATATACTCACCAGCCAGATTAACTAAGGTTGGATACCAATCAGTCACGTGAATAAGTCCTGTACAATTCACTCCTTTCCTGGAGAGAATGTCACCATGTACGAACCCTACCCCTCTGATTCCTCCTTCCCATAGAGTGTCTTTTCTTCCCCTCAGGGGGTAGTCATATCCCCCGTTTTTAGGTACTCCACCGTTGTCAGTGCTGAAGATCATAAGAGTGTTCTCCCACAACCTTAAAAACAAGATAAATAAAAGAATCGTTGGTTTCTGCTCACTGAAAAGAAATAATAGAGAGCTATAGATTCGAGGACGCGGACTACGAGTATATGAGATTTTCTCAATACTAAGTATTGCACGCTCGTGAGCCGGCGTCATTTTGGCGGGAAAGCGTTTGTATACATGTATGTATGTACGCAAATCTTTATTTATACACGGAAAATCATCAGTTAAGCTTAAGTTAAAAACTAAAACTAACGGGGAAACGTGATAGCCGTCGCCATTGTACAACCTTCAGTATAAATAAGCGTACTAACTTTTTGGTGAAAATGAAGCATTCAGGGATGTATTTTTTTAATTTCGGGAACACGCGCAAAAACTTTAAGTTAAATCTCGTACTCGTACTCGATCTCGTCCTAAAATCTAAAGCTCTCTACTTCCGATCACATTTGCAATTGATCATTGCGAGCAATGACAGTTTTTGTCGTTTTAGTTCCCCCGGTTCGTCGCTAACATGAACCCGGGGGAGGGGGGAGGGGGGAGTATTTCGGAGTGAAAGTGACGGGGATGATCGAAAAAGGCGCTGAGGTAAAATAAATACTCCTGTGAAGTTCTTAAACAAACGAAACAATTGCGAAAAAAGGACGCTTTCTGTGCAATAAATTTAGTGAACACGTGCCATATATTTTGATTTTTAACTATAATTTGATTTAACTTTTGAAACAATTTCCTGTTGTAGTTTTAAACTTTCTTCCGATCAAGCTAAAGCAATTCCCTTTCGTGTAACACGCGACTCGTTTATCTTCATGCCAGGTCACTTTTGTTTCCTTTAGCGCTAACACAAATAAATGGGTTTAGCTCTCGGGTTAAATTACAATCAGCAAAGGTCAGACTTCCTGAATCTCTTCGTGCCTTTACTGAGGTGTTAAAAGCATTTTAAAAAGCCCTCACTCAGTAAATGGAAAGTTGTGAGCCTGCAAAGAGACGTTCAACATGAAATCGCCGACAGAAAACACGCACACAAACGGAAAAAAAACACTCATTGGCTTGTGTTCCACCTCCTGCTTCCTACTGTCTGTCGTTTGCTGTATCGCACTGTTTCACGTGGAATTCAGAATACACGAGCAACATCGACTCATATCACAGTTGGAAACATTCCGTCAAGAGATTCAAAGAGAAGTCGCTCAAGTTAAACAGGATTGTAAAAAAGGGAGAGTAACCAAAAGCAACCATCCCGACTTTTGGCAAAATACAAAAGGTGGGTGAAAACGAACAGAAAGTGGATATAGGTGACTTTTTGCTAAACCATGGTTTATCCTTTCACGTGGTTTAACTAGTAAACATCGTCGGAGAAACCAAGTTTTTCAGTTACGCATTGGAATCAACTACAGAGTACAGGGCCATATTAATTTTTAAGTTTTAAAGAACACAGAAAGGGATATATCTTAGTGGCTCGGTGGCTCGTCATTCGAGGTTAGCATCTTAAAGAACGAGAGAGTCATACCGCTAAATTCCGAAAATAAGCCCCGGGGCTTATTAATTTCAAAGGCACTTATTGAGGGGCTTATCTACGGAGGGAAATTTGCGTTTCAAAATCGATTGGGCTAGCCGTATACTTGGAAGTAAATTTACCGTTTTTGCTTTGTTTTACTTTGTATTTGAGGGCAATTTTGCAAGTACAAGCCCCTCCGGGGGCTTATATTTGGAGGGGCGATTTAACGGAGGGTTTTTTGCGTTACCGAATTGGGGGGCTTATACATGGAGGGGCTTAATTTCGGAATTTTACGGTATTTTAGTGGCTCGCGGGCTCCGTCCCAACGAATATACCTAGAAAATTGGCCCTGTATTCTGTATTCTGTTATTTAGCTTTTCAAAAAACTGTGCGAGCTTATAATGCTAATATTAGAACACTACGTACATTTTTCAAGGTCGCAAAGTTATATACAGAGAAAAACGTGATTCATCAGATGCCTCTCAAAACAAATCGGTTACAAAAGCCTTCGAAGTAAAAAAGCTGATCAAAAAAGAGCTTCGCCTGATGCAGAATAAAATCTGTGCCAAAGACGAAAAGCTCTGTCGACCAGGACCAAAAGGTAACACTGGAAGACGGGGAAGACGAGGACCCCAAGGTATACCGGGCCCCAGAGGGAGATCCGGCCCAGCAGGGCCTCCCGGTAAAAATGGATCAATAGGACCACAGGGACCAATGGGTATAAAGGGGGATCGCGGATTGCCAGGTCTGCCAGGATCTCCCGGTCCCAGAGGTCCGCCTGGTGAGAAAGGCGCACCCGGACAATCCATCTCAGCTCCCTCCTTGTTACAGCCTCCTGTTGAAACGACAATCAATGCAAGTCTGACAGCCATCTTGAAATGTACAGCGGCTGGAAATCCTCCTCCCAAGGTCACATGGCTTAAGGTGAACTCAACACTTCCTGTCGGACGTCACGTTGTAGAGTCCAGTGGCGCTCTGATTCTTCAGGATATTAGACCTGAAGACGAGGGCCAGTACACCTGCAAAGCTGAAAATTTGATGGGAACCATCAACGCCAGCGCACGGCTAACAGTGCAGTGTAAGTTGCATTTCATTCTTCAAGATTTCAAGACGTTTTTTTTATCTCTCCCTAACACATTTTCTGACATGCTGTAGGAGTATTCTAACGAACACCTACAGATGGTCTATTCTTGCCGTTCTTCAGTTACTCCCTCTAACTTTCATTATAAGATGCACAACTCTCTAAAGCGATCGGTTAGCAATAGTCGCAGCGGTGTGATGCAGTATTTTGTTTGCAGAATAAACGTGATTTTCTACTTCTTGTCAGTTCCACCCTTTATTAAATTGTCATCAAATCACCTGATTAGCAACTAGGAAACTGCAGCAGCGTAAATGAAAAACTATAGTATAAAGTTATTTCGATGAATTTGATTCATTAGTCGTGACCGTTTTAAAGAAACCAATGAACTGCAGAGAAGTCCTAATCAAGAGGAAACAAGTTACTTTGTTCTTGAGGTTGAGACCAATTTCCTTGGCATTGACTGCATACGACTGGTGAACTGCAATAGAACTAACCATTTAGGAAGTCTAGTTTTAGAAATAGTGGAGAGAATTTTGTCACCTGAATGATAGCGTATTTTTTCTCATTTCTTGCTAGTTGGTCCCCAGATATTTTTGTCATCAAATCGCCTGATGGCTGAACAAAACCAAAACGTCACTATCGTCTGCACTGCCACTGGTCAGCCTCAACCCACGATCACGTGGTCCAAGTTAGGAGGAGTTTTGCCAAAAGGAAGAACTGAAGAGATGAACAAAGCCCTAAAGATCTATCAAGTGACAAGAGACGATGGTGGAATATACACGTGTAAAGCAGATAATATCCTGGGATCAGCGATAGCTATGGCTCAGTTGATGGTTTTTTCGCCTCTTAGGTTCAAAGTTCGACCACCTCAAGAACTAACTCCTGTGGTTGGCTCAACTGTTCGCCTCCCATGTGTGGCCGAGAGTGACCTGAGACCTACTCTCACCTGGACAAAAGACGACTCTATACTTCCGGTTGGTTCAAGGATTCTGCAAGACAACACTCTAGTTCTTGGGAGCATCAAAATATCACACAAAGGATCTTACACCTGTAGAGCGAGTAATCCTTTGAGAACAATAGAAATCAAAGTGAAACTCAATTTTCCAGCTGCTGCTTCCTGTTCTTTGATCAGAAAACACGACAGTAGCGCAAGCGGAAATTACGTCATTGATCCAGATGGCGAGGGCGGTCTGGCACCCTTTACTGTTTATTGTGATATGACAGCTAAGAATGGGGTTGGCGTGACGGTCATCAGTCACGACAGTGAAAGCAGAACATCCGCGAAAGGATACGAAAGTTATGGTGCTTACTCACGAGATGTTCGTTACAAAGGAGCGAGTGTATCTCAGCTGGCGAGTCTCACTAGAGTTTCCTCGCACTGTGAACAATTTATCAAGTATGACTGTTACGGTTCGGTTCTGCTTTACAACAACGTTTTACATGGATGGTGGGTGTCACGTGACTCTACAAAGATGCGGTACTGGGGTGGAGGATCAGGCAATGGTAAGTGCGCATGCGGGATGACTAACTCGTGTGCAAATCCGAGTTATGGCTGTAACTGTGACAAGAATGACGATGTATGGCGTGAAGACAGCGGTCTCCTCACTGACAAGACCAAGCTTCCTGTAATACAACTCAGGTTTGGCGATACTGGTGACACCAAAGAACAAGGTTACCACACACTCGGAAAACTTAAGTGCTTTGGAAGAGCATAAAGAAATGCTTCCTCTTTTGATTTGTAAAAGAAAGTTGAAAACGTTAAGTCAACTATTTATAACTTCTAATAGAAATCTGCGCATTCTTACGATACTGCTTCCTGCTTCGTTTAGCTGATGCTTTCGTTCATTATATCATAGTTAAAAGAGTGGAACGGTTTTGAAGCTTGTCAGACTCCTTTGTTATTTGCTTTTGTGAACTTGAAGGTGCACAAACGTTCATAGCATTCCTTTCATTTCGGTTTTATTGACCAATAAAAACGACGCACTCATTCATTAAGTCACAATTTGTGAGCACGGAACAAAAAAGCGCCCAAAATAAACTACCGCACGGTTTTTAGTTTTATCGTTGATTCTTTCCGCCTTTCCTAACCAGTCTTTTCTACTACTGAACTATGAATATAACGATCAAGTCTTATTTCACATGTTTAAGCACCACCTTACTAGAAATAGTAGCAATAACCTTATGGTCTTTACTGATTCTCTTTTTAAAGACATAGTTTTAATCGGCTTTTCTTAATACGATACTCTCGCAAGTCGTGTAAAATACAAAGCAGAGACAATGAGTGAATGAATAACGAACTATTCTTTCTAATGTGCACTCAAAAACGCTGATAACTCCCAAGGATGGATTTCGAGGAGCAAGGGTGGCGCAGTGGTGAGAGCGCTCGCCTCCCACCAATGTGGCCAAGCCCCAGGATAAAATCCTGGCGTCGACACCATCTGTTGTTTGAGTTTGCTGTTGGTTAGCCTGCGAAAACATCCGTTTCTCCTCGCTCTTCGCCGCTGGGTACGTTTCGCGCAGAGGAACGTCTGCGACTCAGCGGCGGAAATTCCATACTGATGACGCAAATCAATTTTTACAAACTAATTCCGGTAGTCATGGGTTTCCAAATATAAATTTGTCCAATTTTACGTGTCTTCTGATCGATTTTGGTAAAGTGTTGTGTCCATCTACCAACAAGCTCCAGCAAAACTCAAATGCTCCTTCTAGAGAAGACTATATTCCACAAATATTGACTGTTTTGTTACAGATTCTTCGCGTTTACATTTGACCTTTGTTGCCTTTTGCCTTTTGTCTGTCATTCGTAAACAATAGCTAAAACAATGTAACTACTCCGTCGACCAATCAGCGCTTCTGACCGGATTCCGGACAGATTTTACGTCATCAGTACGGAAGTCGCACACGTTCCTCCGCGCGAAACGTCCCCAGCGGCGAAGAGCGAGGAGAAACGGATGTTTTCGCAGGCTAGTTGTTGGTCTTCTCCACTGCTTCGGGCGTGAGAGGTTCTTTTCTCCGGGTACTCCGGTTTTGCCCTGTCCTCAAACACCTACACTTCCAAATTCGATCTGGAACGCACGGACACTATAAAAAGACTTCTTCAGAGCTCCCAAGTGCTTCGTGGATAAATAAATTACAATACAATGCACGAGTAAGAGTTATTTGACAAGTTTTCCTAGGCCGTGTAAATTAGACAACTTCACGAGTATTTTACATTCTCAACGAAAAACCTGGTGAGCGAAACTTGTTCGTGTAGAGACCTATAAAATTATAAAACTTAAGAATACAGAAACGTTTGTCCATAGTTGCCACTACCAGGATAATAAAGCTCTGTGAATAGGTAAGGTACTGGCTATGTCGTGTCATTGACTTAAACCAGTAGTGTAACAGTATTGTTTAAACTTAAATGGCAGTCATACGTTTTCAATCAGAACGTTCACTATTCAACTAATGAAATCTCTCGAAAATAGCACAATAGTTTGCAAGAATAGTTTAGCTGAACAAAGTTCTGTACGAATAAATATTAAACTCCTCTTAAGCTTCACTTTGAATGAGTAATTCCAATACGCACGTACAATCGATTGTCGGGGCCGCGACTTGCTAAGGTCCAAGCAATTTTCCCGCCTTTCGCTGTTATGGAGGTTTTTCTCCTAACAAAGGAAGGAATTCAAGACCCAGATTGGAACCAAAGCCCTCCTTATGATAACCGCCCTCTCCTAACCACTACGCAACTACACCGACCTGCCAAAATTTCTCAAAAAAGTACGCACAAATAATAATTTTAAAACTGTTTTTTATAGCTGATACATCTTTAACTGGTGCCACAAGCCCTTTCTCCAAATAGTTCTACATGTCGTAAATTCAATATTGACTCACAGTTTGTTCTCACTAAGACTATTTACAAATCTATTTTTTGCCTTATTGTAACTTCATCCAAATCAAATCTCACATCTAGCATTTCTGCAGGCGTCATTACTAATAAAGGTATCAACCGTTAAAATGACATCGCTAAATGGTCGCCGTCGACAGAGTCAAAAGAGATGCTTGCTAGAATTCATAAAATAAAGATTATCTGAGGTCGACAACATCAGGTTTTTAAATCAGGTATGGGCCTTTCATAGTCACTATAATCTCTCGGGGGACAAGTCGTACACCGAGTGGCCCAATAGCACTATGACCGAGCGGAAGAATAAGGCCTAAAGTAGACAAATGCGTTTATTTAAGAAACACAACGTAACGGTTCAGTGGCGTGACTGGTAATATGCACATGCGCAATACGTGTCTCCAAATAACCACAACCTAATCTGTCACGTCCTTGATTAACTTTTCTAATAAATTCATCAAAACTACATGCAAAAGTGTTAACAACAAACAAATCAACAAAAAAAATTAAATGTATAAACCTGTGCAAGACGTGTTCCCCACAGTTCGTAAATTATAAATTCTATTTCACCTTATTATGACCAGTAACTTCCTGTTGCACTTATACATGTATCGTACATTAAGCTGAGATAACTCCCGGCACTTGTCGTTTCATCATATCAATCATATTCGTCAGAGATATAAATAGATTGTGTAGGAAAGCGATTATCAAAGGCCAAGTTGGAAAGCCGTTTCAGCGTGAGGTCCCTGCTTCACTTGGTGTTTGTGACGTAGTAGTCCTAACCAAGCGGTTTTATCATGAAACAAGTAAGATCAGAGGAGAGGAATTTAAGCAGAGTTACAAAAACTGACAGTGTGTGTTGCAAGTCAGCTTTGCTGCTGTCTTTTGCGTGCTGTATCACACTTATTCACGTAGAACTTCGAATGCAAGAACATGATCGCTTATTTTCACACCCAGTGACTCGCTCTGGCCAAATGGAAACGGAAATCTTTCGAGTTCAACAGAAAAATGAAAGATGGAGAGTAACCGAAAGCCGCCATTCAGATTTGGGACAAGAGACGGAAGGTGAGTACTGGAAAATACGAGAGCAAAGATAGCTGGCTTTTTGCCAGGAACAAAGTGAATCGTTTTAGGCCTAACGATAAGCAGTATTATAAGCTGTAACGCTTGTTATGTTGACAAAACAACCCACACTTTTCCATGCGCGTTCACGAGCACATGTCATCGGACAGATCGTCTCACGGAGTCTATGTACATTGAGTGGGAAAAGCCTCACCTTAATCAACAGGTGAAACACATCAATCTGACGCTTTCTCTATAGTTGCAGGCACGCGCATCTATTAATTTTGTTAACTTTAAATTTATGTAGCGTATTGAGTTCCAACGCTAATATCATAGGTGACGAATTAATTTTGGCGCGAAATTTCAGCGGTAATTTGTAATTTCACATGTGAAATTACAAAATTGCCATGGCAACCTAACGTACGTCTCAGTGTCAAGATGGCGACGAAGTTAGAAAATGTCATGAATGAAGATGTCAGGGCACAAAAAGACGCTTTAGAAAACCTGAAGACACGAAAGAGCACATCGAGAAGGATTCTAACAGGTATTTTGTCGAAAAACTCTGAACCTAAGCCAAATTTAAGCCCTAAACGTTCGAGAGAGGGCGGGAGTTCTCGATTGATACCATCAAGGATAAACATGTCAAAAATACAAGATAGCTAACGTAATTCGTCACCCATGATATTAATAGGTAATCAGATGGTATACTCGTGAAATTAGGGAATAATTTCACTCTTCACCATTTGATTACACAAACTAATTATAAAATAACTGAGATAGTACGCGCGTTCTGATTGGTTAAAAACCTATAGTTTATTGTGCTGGTAAACTCATATAAAACTTAAAGTTATTTTATAAAAGCAATAGACCACACTTTCGATGGGTCAACCGGCTTGATAACCCACTTGAGATGTTGGGAGAACACTCGAAAAGCTTGTAAATCAGGAGTCGAATTAACTCGTGTTGTCCCAACATCCCGCGTGGGTTATCACGCCAGTAAATTCATAGAAAGTGTGGTCTATTGCTTAAGTAACGTATACTGTACATTGTAACAGGCATGTTTTATCAGCTGTAAACTTTCATGACCGTCACACTGACGATGACGGATGTACCGTCGAAACATGTTTGTTAAATTAAAAAAATCGTACTATTTTTTATAATTTTTTGCTGCTGTCACGATCATTTGGAGCAGTTATTAAATATCTCCTTTCAAAAACATTGTTTTTTTTAATCAAACACAAAGGTCAAGCAAACAAGAGGAGATAGAGATCAGAGATAAAATGTTTTCGCAAATTGTACTCTAAGTACAGATGGGCTCTTCTTGCCCACTCAGGCAGCCAACCAAGACAGAGAATTAGTTTGGTCTTTCCGGGTCGCCGACCCTGCCATAGTGACCATCAATTCTTTTATTGGCATTTGCGTCACTGGTTGTTACTGAAGTTTTTTCAATAAACACGGTTTGTGATCTAATTTCTCTCATAAGGTCAGGAAAGTTCGTCACGACAAAAACGGGCTTCATCAGATGACTCACAAGCGAAACCGGTCAAAACAGCTTCTGATGTAAAACTGCTCATTAAAGAAGAACCTCGTCTGCTGCAGAATCAAATCTGTGCCAAGGATGAAAAGCTCTGTCGTCCAGGACCAAAAGGTAACACTGGAAGACGGGGAAGACGAGGACCCATAGGTATACCGGGCCCCCGAGGAAGACCTGGGCCAGAAGGATCACCTGGTAAACATGGACCAATAGGACCAAAGGGACCAACGGGTATAAAGGGGGATCGCGGACTGCAAGGTCTGCCAGGACCCCCCGGCCCCAGAGGTCCGCCTGGTGAGAAAGGCGCACCGGGACAATCCATATCGGCTCCCTCCCTGTTACAGCAGCCTGTTCAAACGACAGTCAATGAAAGCCAGACAGCCATCTTCAAATGTACAGCAAATGGAAATCCACCTCCGAAGGTCACATGGTATAAGGCTAACTCATCACTTCCTGTCGGGCGTCACGTGGTAGAGTCCAGTGGTGCTCTAATTCTTCAGGATGTTAGACCAGGAGACGAGGGCCAGTACACCTGCAAAGCTGAAAATTTGCTGGGAAACATCAACGCCAGCGCGGAGCTAAAAGTGCAGTGTAAGTTGCGTCTTTTTCTTCAAAACTTTTTAAAAAAAGATGTCCCTCTTCTTAATGCTTTTTCTGAAATGTTTCTATGAGTATTTTAACGGACACCTAGAGTTGGTCCTTCACCCACCTCTTCAGTTATTTCCTTTGACCATCTTTATAACTTGCACGCCTCCTTAAAATGACAATTAGTATTGGTCGCAGCGGTGTTCACTGTATCAATAGTTTGTTTGCAGAATGAAATTTATGTACTATTTCTTGCCAGTTCCTCCTTCTATTGTATTGTCATCAAATCGCCTGATGGTTGAAGAGAGACAAAACGTCACTATTGCCTGCATTGCTACTGGTCAGCCACAACCCGAGATCACGTGGTCAAAATTGGGAGGAACATGGCCAAAAGGAGGAAATGAAGTGACGAATAGAACCTTAATAATCTACAATGTGGCAAAGATGGATGCTGGTACATACAGCTGCAAAGCAGAGAATATTGTAGGATCAGCAAAAGACACAGTTCAACTCGTCATATTCTCTCCCCTGCGATTCAAAGAAAGACCACCTAAAACTTTGATTCCTGTGGTTGGTTCCACCGTTCGTCTACCGTGTTTGGCCGAGAGTGACCTAAAACCTACCCTAACTTGGACAAAGGATGGCTCTTCGCTTCCTGTTGGTTCAAGGATTCTTGAAAACAACACTCTAGTTCTTGGCAGCATAAAAAAATCACACAAAGGATCTTACACCTGCAGAGCGAGTAATCCTTTGAAAACAATAGAAGCCAAAGTCAAAATCAATTCTGCAGTAAGTGCGGCTTCCTGTTCTGTGATAAGAAAACACGTCAGCAGTGTAAGCGGAAATTACGTCATTGATCCAGATGGTGAGGGAGGTCTGGCACCATTCACCGTTTATTGTGACATGACGGCTAAAAATGGAATTGGCGTGACAGTCATCAGTCACGACAGTGAAAGTAGAACATCGGTGAAAGGATATGAAAGTATTGGTGCTTACTCACGAAATGTTCGATACAAAGGAGCGAGTGTATCTCAGCTGGCGAGTCTCACTAGAGTTTCCTCGCACTGTGAACAGTTTGTCAAGTATGACTGTTATGCTTCGGTTCTGTTTTACAATAACGATCCACGTGGATGGTGGGTGTCACGTGATTCTACCAAAATGAGATACTGGGGCGGAGCATCTGACAATGGTAAGTGCGCATGCGGGATGACTAAGTCGTGTGCAAATCCCAGTTATGGCTGTAACTGTGACAAGAATGACTATGTATGGCGTGAAGACAGCGGTCTCCTCACTGACAAGACCAAGCTTCCTGTAATACAGCTCAGGTTTGGCGATACTGGCGGCGGGGCCGAACAAGGTTACCATACACTTGGAAAACTTAAGTGTTTTGGAACAGTATAGATAGATGCTAGTTGTTGTGATTCCAAACCGGAAAAGTAAAAAAAGGATGCGTAACCTTAATAGTTTCATAAAGAAATCTGCAGACTAACAGCCATGTTTTACATATACAGTAAATACAATAAAAACCTGGTCGCAATTCCGTAGGTTAGCTCTTCTCGCTTTTTTTGCTGATATTTATGGTAAACAAACTGTCATGTTTAAACATATCCATAAAACGCTAAATTCTTTCCACGAGAATTAACACCAACCGAAAATCGAGACATGGCACTGATAACCCTGTCTTTTTCCCTAGCACTGAAGTATGGATATCATTGTTCAAACCTGCGTTCAAAAGTCTTGCAGGTCGTGTTAGAGAGTAGTAAGCAATAGTTTAATAAATATTTTTACGTAATTTGAAAATTACTGTCACTGTTGTCGACGGCTGCTACTACCGGGGCTGAGTGCATGCGTGAGATTCTGACTATTATTGTGTGAATGCTTTCATGGAAAAGAGATATTATTACTCTTGTTTGTTATTCACAGAGAGGTATCAAGCCAATCAAAACAAGAACGCTCACAGCCTAGACCGAATGACCATTTATCTACCTTAAAATAAACACCTCACCAAAAGATTTGGAGGTGTCATGCATAAAGATAAAAGGTGTTAAAGTTAAGCCCTGTTTAATCTCCTATTTTAATGTGCAATTTATAAAGTTTAAATACTTTTGCATTAAAAGCGATCCAAAATTTCATTGTGTGTTGGTTAAACGACTTGTGGCGTGACAATACGCAGAAGAGAAGCTTATTAAAACCTTTGAATGCAGAGGTCCACTCAACACGTAAATAAAACCGACTGATTCTTTCTTGTCGGATCTCTAATCTAGAGACGCTAATACCAGACGTCACTTGAAGTGGGAATTAAAACAAAACTGAATGCAAGGCTGGCAATACGACAAAGGGGTGATTTATTTGAGGCCAATATTTCGGCTAACAAAATTAGCCTTCTTCAGGACCACGGCTTGTTATATTTTGTATTTTTAAGATCCTTTGAGGTCGAAAACATAACTTTTTCAAATCAGGAGTGTGCCTTCCGTCATTCCTCAATGCAAAAGTCTTCATACTCAAGCATCGTCACGCCACGCTCACCACGTGACCCTGTAGGAATATGGCAGCGCGAAGGAATGAGGTCTAAGGGATTTATCAACAGTGGGTAAATGCAAGACAAAACGAAACAAAATGAGCGGAAGGTAATGGGCACGTGAGCTTTAGGAGTTGTAAAGCCGCGTCTGTCACGTCTGTAACCTACTTTTTCTAATATCTTCCTCAGAAAAGACAAGCAAACAGACAGACAAGCTTTCAAGTGTATGAGTTGTAGGTTATATCCGTTCTCAGGTTAAATCACAATTTTTGTCTCCTATGAATAATTAGGGCCTAGAAACAAAAAGAAAATACTGACGAAAATTCGGTTGAATCCTTGTCAAAAATGAGAACGGAGTTTACCTACAACATAAACCTGTGGTTAGTTTCTTTACATCTTTAGGCAAGAGCAAATCCATGGACTAAGAGAGGCATTGGGGTTTCGCTGGGTAGATATTGCAAGGATGCTAGAAATGTCTCCGAGGACACTTAGTCGGCAGAGGTAAGAATTTGGTATGCCACTCGGTCAACAGCATAATTTTTCCTCCTGGTTCGACACCTGGACAATATTGTGAGAAGCATTCTCTCAGTTACTCCACTGTGAATTCTACGTAATACTTGACTTTTCTGTATTGCCTTCATAATGAAAGTCACTGTTTACTGTTGCAAGTGATTGTAATCTGGAGTTCATTATCTGTATTAAAAGTTCCAAATCCTGAGTAAGTTGATTCTGCTGCAGTAGTCCTGGGCTGACTCCGTAACTCGACCATGCATCACCCGCAAATTGCGTTTATATTCCTCTAGACGCCTTGCAAGAAATTCTGCGTGCCCCCTCATCGGTATTTTCTTTCACACAGTCTTCGCAGTGCTGCAAAAGTGAGATCAAACCTTCGAAAAATTCATTTACATTTGGAATATAGAAACGATTAGAAGCCATCTTGAATTCCAACTTGTGTTTTCGTTTTAATTACCTCTCGGAAACAGAAATGATCAAAAACTGTCGTCTATTTTCTTGATTTAAAGAACAAGCATCTTGATTTACAAAAATTATCTCTTGATACATGACAAGAAACACGCGGGAATTAAAATTAAATTCTATAATCTTGACACATTCAAAAAGCAAGTTGATGCTAATTGTATCGATCTTGATAGTGAATTTGTGGATTTGAATTATAAAGTTGCATCTTTGATATTTTGTCACTTTTGGCGTAGCATAGATGCCATTAATATTTACAAACAAATTCATGATACCAAACGGGTTTTAAACGTTTGTAATCGAAAGATTCTACATCTATACTGCCTTGACGGAAAAAATTACAATTAATTCTCCAAAACCTACCCTGCCGTTTACAGTAAAAAACCTTAGGCACTAAATCGAAATTTTTTCTACATATTTTCATGTGAATATTTCATTCATTGTCCATTTCTCTTTCTAAGCTAGGTTTTGCAAATGACTCACACTCGCAATGCAAGAAAAATCTAAAAACGGACAGCTAGTAAAAAAATAACGAAAGCTCCGGATTTCTCTAATGGGCCTCTTCCGAGTTCGTAAAACTGTTATTTTTAGAACGAGGCTACGTGCAAAACCCTTTCTTGTGAAAATGAGTTATATTTGCATGAGAATAAAGGAACATTTTCATATCAATGGCTTCGCACTTTGCCTCGCTTTGAAACAGAGGCTTGGAGCAACTCAGAAATGGCCCATTGCATGGACGATCACATCCACGGAGTCCAGGCCCCATTCTCCTTTGCTACTTGTCGCGCCTTCGGGTCACCTGGCTTATTAGCAGGAGGTAACGCACCACTCATGTAAGACTGCACTCGATCTTGGAACTTCTTTACCATATCCGGGAACTTTTTGCTGAGGTCGTACTTCTCATATGGGTCAGCGGTGATATTGTAGAGGGCTACATCGACAAGGGGAACTGGAGGCTAAAAAACATATAAAAGTCTTGGTACTAAACGTAGCAAAGAAAAATATTAGATTCTACAGCTTGACTCTTAACAAAAAAACAAACACATTTTCCACATCAGTCACATCGCGCAGAAATAGTGGAAATCATTATATTAGTTATTTTTTGACCACCCAGGCGAGCAATTTAAATGTACGAGCGCTTTGAACAAGCTCCGAATAAAGGAAGAGAGGGTCTCATTTGGCCCATCAGCGTTGATAAGACTCATTCCCGCAACTTCGTAGCTCTAAAATGACAAATCCACGGACTGAATAAACTGCAACTCAGTCCGTATTCAGTTTCAGCGAAAACGGACGTAATAAAGGAACTGAAAAATTGTAAGTAAGTTAGGAGAATGAGTCTGAGCATGTCTTAATTTGTGACCAGTCTCACTTGTGGAAGATTTCTTTATGTGTAATTGGCCGTGTTAGGTTCGAAAGGAATTGAGGTAAAATGTACAGCCGCCATCTTTTTCCGTAGGGCGGATTGGAATCTAGAATCCAAGTTCTAGTACCTGGAATCCGGAATCCTCGACATTGAGTCCAGAATCCAAGAATGTCTTGGACTCCCGGCCCTTACATGGGGCGATACATAACATAGCCAGTGGACAAAGGACTAATATATCTTCAAGAACTAACTTACACCTTCAAACCCGTACAAATACACTTCATTTCCTTGAGAAGAATTCCGTTCTTCAGGTGGTATGAAGTAAGAGATGTTAGGGACCCCCATGAGAAGTTTCATGTCTCCAACACGAAGACCAATTCCTTGATAAGCAAAGTCCAACTGGTGTGGAACAGAAGGAGTGTCTACGTTATGAAGAATCTCTGTGCGAGGTGAAGGCTCGCCATTAGAAATTGCCTTCCATACGTCATAACCATCAAGGGCAGCGAGTTCCTCCTGATCCAATTGCCCACCTAAAATATATTGTACCCGACAGACAAGTGAGTTTGTTTACATGAGATGTTAACCTTTTAAAACTATAAAACTGTTCTAGTGAGGCCTTAAACTGCTGTTTAAAAAGTAAAATCCAAAATCCAAGCTTTCACTGATCAACGGCTTCATCAGGGATGAGAAAATATTCCGCGCGCGCTATATATGTGCAAAGAAAGTGTGGGGTGAAATGTGTAAAAGATGTGAAGTATGTATGAAAGCTATAGGAATAAATAAACTGTGAATGGAATACAACGCTCTCATGATAGAATGTCTCAAGACAAAGCACCTTTTAGATAAAACTGAGAAGACCTGATGGGCTCCTGGGTCAAAAGCACTGTAGCCATGTACTCACCAGCCAGATTAACTAAGGTTGGATACCAATCAGTCACGTGAATAAGTCCTGTACAATTCACTCCTTTCCTGGAGAGAATGTCACCATGTACGAACCCTACCCCTCTGATTCCTCCTTCCCATAGAGTGTCTTTTCTTCCCCTCAGGGGTAGTCGTATCCACCGTTTTTAGGCACTCCACCGTTGTCAGTGCTGAAGATCATAAGAGTGTTCTCCCACAACCTTAAAAACAAGATAAATAAAAGAATCGTTGGTTTCTGTTCACTAAAAAGAAATAATAGAGAGCTTTAGATTCGAGGACGTGGACTACGAGTATATGAGATTTTCTCAATACTAAGTATTGCGCACTCGTGAGCCGGCGTCATTTTGGCGGGAAAGCGTTTGTATACATGTATGTATGTACGCAAATCTTTATTTATACACGGAAAATCATCAGTTAAGCTTAAGTTAAAAACTAAAACTAACGGGGAAACGTGATAGCCGTCGCCATTGTACAACCTTCAGTATAAATAAGCGTACTAACTTTTGGTGAAAATGAAGCATTCAGGGATGTATTTTTTTAATTTCGGGAACACGCGCAAAAACTTTAAGTTAAATCTCGTACTCGTACTCGATCTCGTCCTAAAATCTAAAGCTCTCTACTTCCGATCACATTTGCAATTGATCATTGCGAGCAATGACAGTTTTTGTCGTTTTAGTTCCCCCGGTTCGTCGCTAACATGAACCCGGGGGAGGGGGGAGGGGGGGAGTATTTCGGAGTGAAAGTGACGGGGATGATCGAAAAAGGCGCTGAGGTAAAATAAATACTCCTGTGAAGTTCTTAAACAAACGAAACAATTGCGAAAAAAGGACGCTTTCTGTGCAATAAATTTAGTGAACACGTGCCATATATTTTGATTTTTAACTATAATTTGATTTAACTTTTGAAACAATTTCCTGTTGTAGTTTTAAACTTTCTTCCGATCAAGCTAAAGCAATTCCCTTTCGTGTAACACGCGACTCGTTTATCTTAATGCCAGGTCACTTTTGTTTCCTTTAGCGCTAACATAAATATATGGGTTTAGTTCTCGGGTTACATTACAATCAGCAAAGGTCAGACTTCCTGAATCTATTCATGCCTTTACCGAGGTGTTAAAAGCATTTTAAAAAGCCCCATTCAGTAAATGGGAAGTTGTGAGCCTGCAAAGAGACGTTCAACATGAAATCGCCGACAGAAAACACGCACACAAACGGAAGAAAAACATTCATTGGCTTGTGTTCCACCTCCTGCTTCCTACTGTCCGTCGTTTGCTGTATCGCACTGTTTCACGTGGAATTCAGAATACACGAGCATCGTCGACTCATATCACAGTTGGAAACATTCCGTCAAGAGATTCAAAGAGAAGTCGCTCAAGTTCAACAAGATTGCAAAAAAGGGACAGTAACGAAAAGCAACCATCCCGACATTTGGCAAAATACAAAAGGTGGGTGAAAACGAACAGAAAGAGGATATAGGTCACTTTTTGCTAAACCATGGTTTATCCTTTCACGTGGTTTAACTAGTAAACATCGTCGGAGAAACCAAGTTTTTCAGTTACCTATTGGAATCAACTACAGAATACAGGGCCATATTTTAAGTTTTAAAGAACACAGAAAGGGATATATGTTAGTGGCTCGGTGGCTCGTCATTCGAGGTTAGCATCTTAAAGAACGAGAAAGTCATACCGCAAAATTCCGAAAATAAGCCCCGGGGCTTATATATTTCTAAGGCACTTATTGAGGGGCTTATCTACGGAGGGAAATTTGCGTTTCAAAATCGATTGGGCTAGCCTTATACTTGGAAGTAAATTTACCGTTTTTGCTTTGTTTTACTTTGTATTTGAGGGCAATTTTGCAAGTACAAGCCCCCCCCCGGGGGGGGGCTTATATTTGGAGGGGCGATTTAACGGAGGGTTTTTTGCGTTACCGGATTGGGGGGCTTATACATGGAGGGGCTTAATTTCGGAATTTTACGGTATTTTAGTGGCTCGCGGGCTCCGTTCCAACGAATATACCTAGAAAATTGGCCCTGTATTCTGTATTCTGTTATTTAGCTTTTCAAAAAACTGTGCGAGCTTATATGTAGTTCCTATATTCTAATATTAGAACACTACGCACATTTTTCAAGGTCGCAAAGTTATATACAGAGAAAAACGTGATTCATCAGATGCCTCTCAAAACAAATCGGTTACAAAAGCCTCCGAAGTAAAAAAGCTGATCAAAAAAGAGCTTCGCCTGTTGCAGAATAAAATCTGTGCCAAAGATGAAAAGCTCTGTCAACCAGGACCAAAAGGTAACACTGGAAGGCGGGGAAGACGAGGACCCCAAGGTATACCGGGCCCCAGAGGGAGATCCGGCCCAGCAGGGCCTCCCGGTAAGAATGGATCAATAGGACCACAGGGACCAATGGGTATAAAGGGGGATCGCGGATTGCCAGGTCTGCCAGGACCTCTTGGTCCCAGAGGTCCGCCTGGTGAGAAAGGTGCGCCGGGACGATCCATCTCAGCTCCCTCCTTGTTACAGCCTCCTGTTGAAACGACAATCAATGCAAGTCTGACAGCCATCTTGAAATGTACAGCGGCTGGAAATCCTCCTCCCAAGGTCACATGGTTTAAGGTGAACTCAACACTTCCAGTCGGACGTCACGTTGTAGATTCCAGTGGCGCTCTGATTCTTCAGGATATTAGACCCGAAGACGAGGGCCAGTACACCTGCAAAGCTGAAAATTTGATGGGAATCATCAACGCCAGCGCACGGCTAACAGTGCAGTGTAAGTTGCATTAATTTCATTCTTCAAGATTTCAAGACGTTTTTTTTATCTCTCTCTAATACATTTTCTGACATGCTGTAGGAGTATTCTAACGGACACTTACAGCTAGTCCCTTCTTGCCGTTCTTCAGTTACTTTCGCTGACTTTCATTATAAGATACACAACTCTCTAAAACAATCGGTCAGCAATGATCGCAGCGGTGTGATGCAGTATTTTGTTTGCAGAATAAACGTGTTTTCTACTTCTTGCCCATTCCACCCTTTATTGAATTGTCATCACTTTACCTGATCGTAACGTAACGTAAATGAAATATAAAGAAAAACAATAGTATAAAGCTATGCCGGTGAATTTGATTCATTAGTCATGACCTTTTTAAAGGAACTGCGGAGAAGTCTTAATCATGAGGAAACAAGTTTACTTTGATCTTGAGGGTCACTGTAAGTGTTCTCCTAAAATAAACCATTTTCCTTAGCATTGGCTGCATACGATTGGTGAACTACAAAAAAATTAGCCATTTAGAAGTCTAATTTTTAAAGAATGTTCACGTTCGCTTACTGATAGAGGTGACCGCTGAATAGGGGTCAAGTTTAAAACAAATAAAGGGGGCAAATTTCGAGTATTTGATGAGTACTATTTTTTTGCCGGTGCACGTTGCCGTTGTGCAAAGGTGTCGTAAGAGAAGGTTCGACTATATTTGCTAAAAATTCTACGATATTATAATAGCAGAGAGTATTCTGTCACCAGAATAAAAGCGATTTATCTGTTTCTTGCCAGTTGGTCCCCAGATATTATTGTCATCAAATCGCCTGATGGCTGAGCAAAAGCAAAACTTCACCATCACCTGCACTGCCACTGGTCAGCCTCAACCCAAGATCACGTGGTCCAAGGTAGGAGGAGATTTGCCAAAAGGAAGAAGTGAGGTAATGAAAGACGCTCTGACAATCTATCAAGTGACAAGAAACGACGGTGGTATATACACGTGTAAAGCAGATAATATCCTGGGAACAGCGACAGATATGGCTCAGTTGATGGTTTTTTCGCCTCTTCGGTTCAAACTTCGACCACCTCAAGAACTGACTCCTATGGCTGGCTCAACTGTTCGCCTACCTTGTGTAGCCGAGAGTGACCTGAGACTTACCATAACTTGGACAAAGGATGGATCCCTACCTCCGTTTGAATCAAGAATTCTTCAAAACAACACTCTAGTTCTAAACAGCATCAAAATATCACATAAAGGATCTTACACCTGCAGAGCGAGTAATCCTTTGTCAACAATAGAAACCAAAGTAAAAATCCATTCTCCAGTTACACTTGCTTCCTGTTCTGAGATCAGAAAACACGTCAGCAGTGTAAGCGGAAATTACGACATTGATCCAGATGGCGAGGGGGGTCTGGCACCATTCACTGTTTATTGTGATATGACAGCTAAAAATGGAGTTGGGGTGACAGTCATCAGTCACGACAGTGAAAGCAGAACATACGTGAAAGGATATGAGGCAAAGGGAAGTTACTCGCGTAACATTCGTTACACAGGAGCGAGTCTTTCTCAGCTGGCAAGTCTCACCAGAGTGTCCTCGAATTGTGAACAGTTCATCAAGTATGAATGTACAGGTTCCGCTCTCCTTGAAAATGGCGCCTTTTCTGGCTGGTGGGTGTCACGTGATTCCGCTAAGATGACGTACTGGGGAGGAGCATCTGGTAATGCTAAGTGCGCATGCGGGATGACTAACTCATGTGCACACGCCAGTTATGGCTGTAACTGTGATAACGAATCCTATAGATGGCAGGAGGACAGCGGTCTGCTCACTGACAAGACGACGCTTCCTGTAAAACAACTCAGGTTTGGGGATACTGGTGACAGCGGAGAACAAGGTTACCACACACTAGGAAAACTAAAGTGCTTTGGAACAGCATAAATAGATGCTAGTTCTTGTGACTCCAAACCCGAAAAGTAAAAGAAAAAATATATATGTGTAACCTTAATAGTTCATAAAGAAACCTGGAGAGAGACCGACAGCGATCCTTGTTTTACATGTACAGTAAATACAATAGCCCACCTTCGATATATTAAAACTCTAACATGACTCCGAGGCTTTAGGGTCAAAATTGCAAATTTCTCACGACTCCATTGACTCGCAATTCCCAGAAGAGACTTGAGGACAAAGAAAACCAAACCAAATGTACAAAAATCACCAGAAAGCCTCGGAGTCATGTTAGAATTTTAATGTATCGAACGTGGGCTATTAAAACCCGGTCGAACATCCGTAGGCTAGCTCTTCTCGCTTTTTTACTGATGTTTATGGTAAACAACCTGTCGCGGTTCAACATATTCATCAAACTCTAAATTCTTTTCACGAGAATTAGCACCAACCGAAAATAGAGACATGGCACTAATAACTCTGTCTTTTTCCCCTAGTACTGAAGTATCGATATGATTGTTTTAACCTGTTTTCGAAAGTCTTGCAGGTCGTGTTAGAGAGTAATAAGCAATAGTTTAATAAATGTTTTTTATGTATTCTGAAAAATCCTGTCACTGTTGTCGACGGCGCTACTACCGGGGCTGAGCGCACGCATGGGATTCTGGCTATATCGTGTCAATGTTTTGTTGGAGAGAGATACTATTTCTCTTGTTTGTTCTTCCCATAGAGGTATCAAACGAATCATGAAAAACCGCGCTTCATTTAAGCGTCAATGCAATTAGCACAAAATAACTAATTGAGGACAACATTTTTATGTCTCCTACTGGAGACGGGACCGCCATTTTATTCAGTTTGTCATTCGAGCCCCATGAAGGCAAAGCTGTTTGCAAGGAAAAGGCAGTACCTTTACTCTCAGTTATTTTAAGACCCTAAGTATTGCTCCAGCCCTAATGATCGATCAAACCAGCGACCATAAGCTCGGCAGTAAACGTTTTACCAACTGAGCTAGTCCTGACGTAGTCTCATTTGAGACCTTTAAGAGCTTCTTCATCACCGCGGTTTTTAAAAGGTTTATTTAAACTTAATTGCCTGCATACAAAACAATCTCCGGTCATAATTCAGGGTTGGTTATAAAAACATAGTTCAAACGGTTAAAACACTTTTAAATTTGACAAACCCTCCCATCTAAGCATTGTTTGCTATTAACAGCGTCAAGAACGCTCACAGCCTAGACTTTTTTTTATCTACTTAAAAGTAAACACTTCACCAACAGATTTAAAGGTCTTATAAATAAAGATAAAAAGTGTAAAACTTAAGCTCTGTTAAAGCTCCACTTTTAAAGTGTTATTTATAAAGTTAAAATAGTTTGGGATAAGAAACAATCTCAAATTCCAGTGTGCGAATATGGTACGTTGGTTGAGCGACATGGGTGGCGTCAAAATAGACAGAAGAGAAGCTTGTTATATTTTGTTAATTTTAAGATCCTTTGAGGTTTGAAAAGAACTTTTTCACATCAGTTGTGGGCCTTCTGTTGTTCCTGAACGCAAAAGTCTTCATGGTGAAGCATCGTTAACCTACGCGCACCACTTGACCCGGCAGGAATATGACAGTGCGGAGGAATGAGGTCTATGGGATTTAACAACGCTGGGTAAATGCCAGACAAAACGAAACAAAATGGGCGGAAGGTAATGGGCACGTGAGCTTTAGGCGTTGTAAAAAAACTAATGCCGCGTCTGTCACGTCTGTAACGTACCTTTTGTAATATCTTCCTCAGGAAAGACAAGGAAACGGACAAACAAGCTTTCAAGTGTATGTGTCGTAGGTTATATTGGTTCTCCGCTTAAATCACAATTTTGTCTCCTATGAATAATTAGGGCCTAGAAACAAAAAGAAAATACTGAAGAAAATTCGGTTGAATCCTTGTCAAAAATGAGAACGGAATTTACCTAGGACATAAACGAGTGGTTAGTTTCTTTATATTATCACTTGACGACGCAAAGCAAATCCTGAACTTCCCAATTTGCCGCTCTGAGTTTTTACGTTTAGAGGTCATGAAGCTGGTCTGTTTCATGCATATTGAGTAATTTATTTCCTGTGGTCTGGAGCACGATGTCCTAATGTTCCTCCGTTCGCAATTCCTTTTGTTCTAGCTTGATAGTCTATGGGACTGTACTGGTAGTGCATTTTTTTGTTACAAGTGCCCAAAGCAAGACTGCAGTTTTGGAATTAAAAGATACCTTGTCTAAGGTCACGTTTATTCTCGTTCAGCCTGTCAACACTATTTCAAACCGGATGTTTTCCTCAGCGCGTTCAGCCAACAACAAAAGGTTTTCTATTTGGGAAAGGTAATAGCCAATCAGAAAATACCTACCATATTCGCAAAAGTGGGTGACGTACCCGGGCAAATTACAACGCTCGGAATTCAGTCGTCTCTCTACCCCGCACCCCCCCTCCCCCCACGGATTACTGGCTGGAGACGTGTGACATTTCAGACTATCCCAACCACTCTTTTACTTGTCATTTCATAATGTCACTCATATTCGTTAAGATATAAGTGGGTCATTTGTTTAGAAATGCCGCATGTCACGGGCCTGGTTATTCAGTTTCTCGAGTTTCACAAAAGACATTTGCTTCACTGATTTCAAGGGCCATTAACTTACTCGGTCTTTCTGAAAACGTAGGCCCAAAAAGACAGTTTAATCATGAAACAATGGAATGTAGAAGAGAAGCATAAGACTGGAAGTAAAACATTTGAGAGCTTGAGTTGCAAGTCAGGTTTGCTGCTGTCTATTGCGTGCTGTATCGCACTTATTCACGTAGAACTTCGAGTACAAGAGCATCATAACCTGATTTCACACTCAGTGGCATTCTGTGGTCAGTTGGAAACACAAATCCTTAGAGCTCAACAGAAAAATGGAAGATGGAAAATCACCGAAAGCAGCCCTTCAGATTTGGAGCAAGAAACAGAGGGTGAGTAACTGAGAATTTTAAAAGCGGAAATAGCTAAGCTCTTTGCCACGACCAAGGCCTCTACTTCTCCTTGTGCAGATATCATTATAACATAGCCAGAATATTCGCCTATTCAAATTCAATAGCGCGAGTGTGCTTCATATTCCCGTTGAGCACGCTGATGATGTCAATAAACTATACCTCGAGTTCTTGTGAGCTTAGCAATCCTCCCAAGACGTCTCCCAAGAGCATCCATAACTCAACAGTACACGATGAAGCGTTAACCATGTGGTTAATAATGTAAATTTAAGAGAAAACTTTTAAATTTGCTAACCGATAGCAGAGAGAAGAGTAGTCTTACCTACAAGTCGAGCTCAAATTTTTTTCACGAGCGCGAAGCGCGAACGGTAGATTTTTTCTGTTTTCTGCGGCAAAAGCGAGCGGGAAAGCGAGAGCTCGAACTTCGCGCTGAGGCCAACCACCGGAACCGGAAATGAGAAACGAAGGACTTTGAGAAAGTCTAGGAAAAGAGTTGAGTGTTGTTGCGGTTTTGTCATCTGCGCGAGCTGTGCGGGCTATGGCGTGTGCAAATCGTTCTTTTCACAGCTATTTCTTTCAAAAAGAATTTTTTGGTGAATTAATAGTTTTTCGGTTCCTCAATATGGCTTTTACAATCCATTTGACCGTTATCTTAAGCGACTTGATTAAACTTTATTCTCTCAGTTTCAAGACAAAAACATAACTGTGAGGTAAAAAAATATAGTCACGTAGACACTGAAGCGTACTGCTTTAAACGCGAGCTATAAAAATAAAAATGTAAGGTAACTGCTGCATTAATGCATAATGTTTTAAAACAATTAGGAGATGACCATTTAACTAGCATTTACTGTTTACCTTGAGTGATTTCTTAAAGATGTATGATTAATGTGCTACAGTCTTTTAAGAATGGCTTTTATTTTTGAGGTCAAAAAACCAAATCAAGACAAAGACGTGCTTCACCCAGTGACTCACAAGCGAAACCGGTAAAAACAGCCTCTGATGTAAAACAGCTGATCAAAGATGAACTTCGTTTGCTGCAAAATCAATTCTGTGCCAAAGATGAAAAGCTTTGTCGACCAGGACCAAAAGGTAACACAGGAAGACGGGGAAGACGAGGACCCCAAGGTATACCAGGTCCCCGAGGGAGAACCGGACCAGCAGGACCTCCCGGTAAACATGGACCAGTAGGACCACAAGGTCCAATTGGTAAAGAAGGAGTTCGCGGAATGCAGGGTCCCGCGGGACCCCCGGTCCCAGAGGTCCGCCGGGTAAGAAAGGCGCACCGGGACAATCTATCTCGGCTCCCTCCCTGTTACAACAGCCTGTTGAAACGACAGTCAATGAAAGCCAGACAGCCATCTTGAAATGTACAGCGGTTGGCAATCCTCCTCCCAAGGTCACATGGTCTAAGGTGAATTCATCACTTCCTGTCGGTCGTCACGTGGTAGAGTCCAGTGGCGCTCTGATTCTTCAGGATGTTAGACCTGGACACGAAGGCCAGTACACCTGCAAAGCTGAAAATTTGCTGGGAAGCATCAACGCAACAGCGAAGCTAACAGTGCAGTGTAAGTTCCAACTTTTTAATCTAAGGCTTTAAGCAATGATGTTCATTACTCCGTAACACATTATCTATTTCTTGTCAGTTCCTCCTTCTATTGTACTGTCATCACATCGCCTGATGGTTGAAGAGAAACAAAACGTCACTATCGCCTGCACTGCTACTGGTCAGCCGAAACCCAAAATCACGTGGTCCAAGTCAGTTAACAAACTGCCCAAAGACAGAAACAAAGTGGTGAATGGAGCCCTCACAATCTATCATGCAGTAAAAAAGGACGGTGGAACATACATTTGTAAAGCAGACAATACTCTTAGTTCAGCAACAGATACGGCTCAACTCATGGTTTTCTCGCCTCTACGGTTTAAAGTCAAACCTCCCAAAGAAGTGCACACTGCAATTGGATACACTGTCCATCTACCGTGTATGGCCGAGAGTGACCTGAGACCTGTAATTTCTTGGTCAAAGGATGGCTCTATACTTCCTGTTGGTTCGAGGATTCTTAAAAATAACACTCTCGTACTAAACAGCATCAAAAAATCACACAAAGGATCTTATACCTGCAGAGCAACTAATGCCCTCAAAACGATAGAAACAGAGGTTAAAATCAATTCTCCAGTGAGGGCTACTTCCTGTTCTGTTATTAAAAAGAACGTCAGCAGTGTGAGCGGAAATTACGTCATTGATCCAGATGGCGAAGGAGGTCTGGCACCATTTCCTGTTTATTGTGATATGACAACTAAACATGGAATTGGCGTAACAGTCATAAGTCACGACAGTGAAAGCAGAACATCCGTGAAAGGATATGAATCTCCGGGTACTTATTTACGAGATGTTCGTTACGCAAAAGTGAGCCTCTCTCAGCTGGCAAGTCTCACCAGAGTCTCATCGCATTGTGAACAGTTTATCAAGTACGAGTGTTACGGTTCACTTTTGCATCACAAAAACAATAAATTTGGATGGTGGGTGTCACGTGATTCTACTAAGATGACGTACTGGGGCGGAGCATCTGACAATGGTAAGTGCGCATGCGGGATGACTAACTCGTGTGCATATCCCAGTTATGGCTGTAACTGTGACAAGAATGACTATGTATGGCGTGAAGACAGCGGTCTCCTCACTGACAAGACCAAGCTTCCTGTAATACAACTCAGGTTTGGCGATACTGGCGACGGGCCCGAACAAGGTTACCATACACTTGGAAAACTTAAGTGCTCTGGGACAGTATAGATAGATGCTAGTTGTTGTGATTGCCTTGGATGCACTATTCGCACGAAATCGCATGCGCGAATAATAAGGTGGTATAAGGACCTGAACAAACGCTAATAGTTTCATAAAGAAATCTGCAGACTAACAGCCATGTTTTACATATACAGTAAATACAATAAATACCCGGTCGCAATTCCGTAGGTTTGCTCTTCTCGCTTTTTTTGCTGATATTTATGGTAAACAAACTGTCATGTTTTAACATATTCATAAAACGCTAAATTCTTTCCACGAGAATTAACACCAACCGAAAATCGAGACATGGCACTGATAACCCTGTCTTTTTTCCTAGTACTGAAGTATGGATATCATTGTTTAAACCTGCGTTCGAAAGTCTTGCAGGTCGTGTTAGAAAGTAGTAAGCAATAGTTTAATACACTCTTTTTTTTTCTATAAGAATATATTTTATAAGAATATCGAGGCTGAAATTTGCAAAATCTTAAGAATACTTTAAGAATAAACTCCAGGCTGAGATTTTGAAAAGGATATAATTTCGTGTGGTGAAAATCTGTAAATACAATACAAATATACCTTCTCAATTTATTCCTTTCTTTAAACGACAAAACTAGCTAACTATATTTAACAAACCTATATTGATACCTTAATATATTCTAATTCGGAAATGTCATAAGCTATTATTAAGAATAATACAAGAATATTTACAGCCTAAAATCGGCAGGAAAATAAGAATATTCAGCCTGGCCCTGGAAAACAACATTCTTATAAAAAAAAAAGAGTGTAAACATTTTTTACGTAAATTGAAAAATACTGTCACTGTTATTCACGGCTGCTACTACCGGGGCTGAGCGCATGTGTGAGTTTCTGACTATTATTGTGTGAATGCTTTCGTGGAAAGATATTTTTTACTCTTGTTTGTTATTCACATAGAGGTATCAAGCCAATCAAAACAAGAACGCTCACAGCCTAGACCGAATGACCATTTATCTGTCTTAAAATAAACACCTCACCAAAAGATTTGGAGGTCCCATGCATAAAGATAAAAGGTGTTAAAGTTAAGCTCTGTTTAATCTCCACTTTTAATGTGCAATTTATAAAGTTTAAATACTTTTGCATTAAAAGCGATCCAAAATTTCATTGTGTGTTGGTTAAGCGACTTGTGGCGTGAAAATAGGCAGAAGAGAAGCTTATTAAAACCTTTGAATGCAGAGGTCCACTTAACGCGTAAATAAAACCGACTGGTTCTTTCTTGTCGGATCTCTAATCTAGAGATGCTGATGCCAGAGGTCACTTGAAGTAAGAATTTTAAAAAAACTGAATGCAAGGCTGGCAATACGACAAAGGGGTGATTTATTTCAGGCCAATATTTCGGCTAACAAAATTAGCCTTCTTCAGGGCCACAGCTTGTTATATTTTGTATTTTTAAGATCCTTTGAGGTCAAAAACATAACTTTTTCAAATCAGGTGTGGGCTTTCCGTCATTCCTCAATGCAAAAGTCTTCATACTCAAGCACCGCTACGCCACGCGCACCACGTGACCCTGTAGGAATATGGCAGCACGGAGGAATGAGGTCTAAGGGATTTACCAACGCTGGGTAAATGCAAGACAAAACTAAACAAAATGAGCGGAAGGTAATGGGTACGTGAGCTTTAGGAGTTGTAAAGCCGCGTCTGTCACGTCTGTAACCTACTTTTTCTAATATCTTCCTCAGAAAAGACAAGCAAACAGAAAGACAAGCTTTCAAGTGTATGTGTTGTAGGTTATATCCGTTCTCAGGTTAAATCACAATTTTTGTCTCCTATGAATAATTAGGGCCTAGAAACAAAAAGAAAATACTGACGAAAATTCGGTTGAATCCTTGTCAAAAATGAGAACAGAGTTTACCTACAACATAAACCTGTGGTTAGTTTCTTTACATCTTTAGGCAAGAGCAAATCCATGGACTAAGAGAGGCATTGGGGTTTCGCTGGGTAGATATTGCAAGGATGCTAGAAATGTCTCCGAGGACACTTAGTCGGCAGAGGTAAGAATTTGGTATGCCACTCGGTCAACAGCATAATTTTTCCTCCTGGTTCGACACCTGGACAATATTGTGAGAAGCATTCTCTCAGTTACTCCACTGTGAATTCTACGTAATACTTGACTTTTCTGTATTGCCTTCATAATGAAAGTCACTGTTTACTGTTGCAAGTGATTGTAATCTGGAGTTCATTATCTGTATTAAAAGTTCCAAATCCTGAGTAAGTTGATTCTGCTGCAGTAGTCCTGGGCTGACTCCGTAACTCGACCATGCATCACCCGCAAATTGCGTTTATATTCCTCTAGACGCCTTGCAAGAAATTCTGCGTGCCCCTCATCGGTATTTTCTTTCACACAGTCTTCGCAGTGCTGCAAAAGTGAGATCAAACCTTCGAAAAATTCATTTACATTTGGAATATAGAAACGATTAGAAGCCATCTTGAATTCCAACTTGTGTTTTCGTTTTAATTACCTCTCGGAAACAGAAATGATCAAAGACTGTCGTCTATTTTCTTGATTTAAAGAACAAGCATCTTGATTTACAAAAATTATCTCTTGATACATGACAAGAAACACGCGGGAATTAAAATTAAATTCTATAATCTTGACACATTCAAAAAGCAAGTTGATGCTAATTGTATCGATCTTGATAGTGAATTTGTGGATTTGAATTATAAAGTTGCATCTTTGATATTTTGTCACTTTTGGCGTAGCATAGATGCCCATTAATATTTACAAACAAATTCATGATACCAAACGGGTTTTAAACGTTTGTAATCGAAAGATTCTACATCTATACTGCCTTGACGGAAAAAATTACAATTAATTCTCCAAAACCTACCCTGCCGTTTACAGTAAAAAACCTTAGGCACTAAATCGAAATTTTTTCTACATATTTTCATGTGAATATTTCATTCATTGTCCATTTCTCTTTCTAAGCTAGGTTTTGCAAATGACTCACACTCGCAATGCAAGAAAAATCTAAAAACGGACAGCTAGTAAAAAAATAACGAAAGCTCCGGATTTCTCTAATGGGCCTCTTCCGAGTTCGTAAAACTGTTATTTTTAGAACGAGGCTACGTGCAAAACCCTTTCTTGTGAAAATGAGTTATATTTGCATGAGAATAAAGGAACATTTTCATATCAATGGCTTCGCACTTAGCCTCGCTTTGAAACAGAGGCTTGGAGCAACTCAGAAATGGCCCCATTGCAAGGACGATCACATCCACGGAGTCCAGGCCCCATTCTCCTTTGCTACTTGTCGCGCTTTCGGGTCACCTGGTTTATTAGCAGGAGGTAACGCACCACTCATGTAAGACTGCACTCGATCTTGGAACTTCTTTACCATATCCGGGAACTTTTTGCTGAGGTCGTACTTCTCATATGGGTCAGCGGTGATATTGTAGAGGGCTACATCAACAAGGGGAACTGGAGGCTAAAAAACATATAAAAGTCTTGGTACTAAACGTAGCAAAGAAAAATATTAGATTCTACAGCTTGACTCTTAACAAAACAACAAACACATTTTCCACATTAGTAGCAGAAATAGTGGACATCATTATATTAGTTACTTTTTACCACCCAGGCGAGCAATTCAAATGTACGAGCGCTTTGAACAAGCTCCGAATAAAGGAAGAGAGGGTCTCATTTGGCCCATCAGCGTCGATAAGACTCATTCGCGCAACTTCATAGCTCTAAAATGACAAATCCACGGACTGAATAAACTGCAACTCAGTCCGTATTCAGTTTCAGCGAAAACGGACGTAATAAAGGAACTGAAAAATTGAAAATAAGCTAGGAGAATGAGTCTGAGCATGTCTTACTTTGTGACCAGTCTCACTTGTGGAAGATTTCAGAGGATCGAGTGGAAACTTGGGAACGAGGTTTTGAAAGCGAAAGGCACCGTGGGAAGATTTCGTTGACCCTTTCCATGGCCCGTCTGTTTTTCGTTTTATTTTGTTTGTTTGTCTGTTTGTTTTGAGGGGAAACAGAGAGAACTGCAAGCAAGCAACCTGGAAGCAAATATTGGCCACAAAGAATACCCGAGGGGACTCCAAATGAAAGCTGTGTATAAACATATCACACTACGTAAGGGAATCCGGATTCTGAAATGTAGGAAAATTTTTGCCTTGGAATCCGAAATCCTGAGCGTTGGAATCTGGAATTTACCTTAAGGAGTCCGGAATCCCGCTAACAATCCGCCGAACCGTACCTAAAAAGATGGCGACTGGTACATTTACCCACAGTTCTTAGCGCATGAAAACCATAAAATTGATCATAAAAACGCACAGAAAAGTTTTATAAACTTCAAACCTAGGACAGGCAATGTTGCTATTACAGGGACAAATTTCGCCTCCCCCCCCCCCCAAAAAAAAATATGACTTTATGTGTAATTGGCCGTGTTAGGTTCGAAAGGAATTGTGGTAAAATGTACAGCCGCCATCTTTTTCCGTAGGGCGGATTGGAATCTAGAATCCAAGTTCTAGTACATGGAATCCGGAATCCTCGACATTGAGTCCAGAATCCAAGAATGTCTTGGACTCCCGGCCCTTACATGGGGCGATACATAACATAGCCAGTGCACAAAGGACTAATATATCTTCAAGAACTAACTTACACCTTCAAACTCGTACAAATACACTTCATTTCCTTGAGAAGAATTCCGTTCTTCGGGTGGTATGAAGTAAGAGATGTTAGGGACCCCCATGAGAAGTTTCATGTCTCCAACACGAAGACCAATTCCTTGATATGCAAAGTCTAACTGGTGTGGAACAGAAGGAGTGTCTACGTTATGAAGAATCTCTGTGCGAGGTGAAGGCTCACCATTAGAAATTGCCTTCCATACGTCGTGACCATCAAGGGCAGCGAGTTCCTCCTGATCCAATTGCCCACCTAAAATATATTATACCCGACAGACAAGTGAGTTTGTTTACATGAGATGTTAACCTTTTAAAAATATAAAACTGTTCTAGTGAGGCCTTAAACTGCTGTTTAAAAAGTAAAATCCAAAATCCAAGCTTTCACTGATCAACGGCATCATCAGGGATGAGAAAACATTCCGCGCGCGCTATATATATATGCAAAGAAAGTGTGGGGTGAAATGTGTAACAGATGTGACGTGTGTATGAAAGCTATAGGAATAAACTGTGAATGGAATACAACGCTCTCATGATGGAATGTCTCTAAACAAAGCACCTCTAAGATAAAACCGAGAAGACCTGATGGGCTCCTGGGTCAAAAGCACTGTAGCCATGCATATACTCACCAGCCAGATTAACTAAGGTTGGATACCAATCAGTCACGTGAATAAGTCCTGTACAATTCACTCCTTTCCTGGAGAGAATGTCACCATGTACGAACCCTACCCCTCTGATTCCTCCTTCCCATAGAGTGTCTTTTCTTCCCCTCAAGGGGTAGTCATATCCCCCGTTTTTAGGTACTCCACCGTTGTCAGTGCTGAAGATCATAAGAGTATTCTCCCACAACCTTAAAAACAAGATAAATAAAAGAATCGTTGGTTTCTGTTCACTGAAAAGAAATAATAGAGAGCTTTAGATTCGAGAAGGCGGATTACGAGTATACGAGATTTTCTCAATATTAGGTATTGCGCGCGCGTAAACCGGCATCACTTTGGGGGGAAAACGTGATAGCCGTCGTCATTCTAAGCCGGGTTTTGGCAAGAATGTAGAAGTGGGGGAACAAGTTATCACATGTAAGAAGTTTCATCATTTTGCTATTGGGAGAGGGATTAACCTCCTTCAGTATAAATAACCGTACTAACTTTTTGGGTGAAAAAAAAAAAAGATAAAATGAAGCTTTCCAGGAATTTGTCAAATCGCGTGCAGTTCGTCCAGTACAAAGAGACTTGTTCTATTAGGCTGACTCTGAGCTGTGGAGTCCCTCAAGGTTCTATATTAGGACCATTATTGTTTGTTTTGTATATCAATGACCTCCCTTGTGCTACTCGTCTTGCTGAAACTATGCTTTTTGCAGATGATACTAGTGTGTTTTATTCTAATCCCGATTTAAATTGTGCTATTTCTGCCGTAAATAATGATTTATCTCAAATTGATCTTTTTATGAAAGCAAATAAGCTCTCTGTTAACATAACGAAAACTAATTATATCATTTTTGCAGCAAGCAAAAACCAGTCGGCTTCCCAATAAATCCTGTCTTGTACGATGAGGTTTTATTAAAACAAGTAAAGGTAGTTAAATTTTTAGGGGTTTTTATCGACGAGCATCTAACGTGGAAGCCGCATATTACTTATATATGTAAGAAAATTTCAAAATCTATTGGCGTCATGTTTAGGTCTCGTTTCTTTCTTTCTGAAACAACAAAAAGTCTCTTTATTATACCTTAATTTATCCTTATTTAACATATTGTACCACAGTTTGGTCCTCCACTTATGTAACAAACCTTAATAGAATTTTTTCTTCTACAAAAGCGAGCAGTACGAATTATTACAAATGCAGATTTTCGCGCGCACTCTGAACCATTATTTTTCCGTTTAAAGATTTTGGACATATACAACATTAATTCATTCTATACTGCACAATTTATGTTTTCATATTATCATCAATTACTGCCACCGCTTTTTTTCGAACCTTTTTTTGTTACTAGTAGCAATATTCATAATTATAATACTAGAAGCTCCTCGCATTTTCGTTCTCATGCCTGCCGAACTAACACCAAACAATTTTCTATTTTGTTCCAAGGCCCTAAAATTTGGAATTCTTTACCAAACTCAGTCACTTCGATTTTTACATTGCAATCGTTTAAAACGAAAGTTTTTGATTTTCTACTATATCGATAATGCGTCTTGTACTGTCCGTTGTTGTGTGTTGTTATAGTTCTATTGCTTAATATTATTGTAACGAGGGGGCCTCCTCGTACAAGCCTTGTGGTTTTCTGAGGTCCCCTCGCCACATCTTTGTATAATGTAATGCTTGTGTAATCTTTATTGTGGGAAAATAATAAATAAATAAATAAATAAATAAATTCCTTTTAAAAAACACGCGCAAAAACTTAAAGTTAAATCTCGTACTCGCACTCGCTCTTCTACTCAAATCTAAACCTCTCTGCTACCGATCATATATTTGCAATTACTGGGCAGTCGCAAACTATTTTATAACAGACGACAACAATTGATCATCGCGAGCACGACATTTTTCGTCCTTTTAGTTCAACAGGTTCGTCGCTAACATGACTCTGGGGAGGGGGGTGGAGTACTTCGGAGTTAAAGTGACGGGGATGATCGAAAAAGGCAGGTAAATACTTCTGTGAAGTTCTTAATCAAACGAAACAAGTGCGAAAATAAAGGACACTTTCTGTGCAATCAATTTAGTGAACACGTGCCTGATATTTAGTATAATTTGACTTAACTTTTAAAGCCATTTCCTAATGTAGTTTTAGACTTTCTTCCGATCAAGCTGAAGCAACTCCGTTTCGTGTAACATGCGACTGATTTATCTAAATGCCAGGTCACTTTTGCTTCCTTTAGCGTTAACATAAATAAATTGGTTTAATTCCCGGGTTAAATTACAATCAGCAAAGGTCAGACTTCCTGAATCTCTTCATGGCTTTACTGAGGTGTTAAAAGCATTTCAAAAAAACCGTCACTCAGTAAATGGGAAGTTGTGAGCCTGCAAAGAGACGTTCAACATGAAATCGCCGACAGAAAACACGCACACAAACGGAAGAAAAACACTCATTGGCTTGTGTTCCACCTCCTGCTTCCTACTGTCTGTCGTTTGCTGTATCGCACTGTTTCACGTGGAATTCAGAATACACGAGCATCATCGACTCATATCACAGTTGGAAACATTCCGTCAAGAGATTCAAAGAGAAGTCGCTCAAGTTCAACAAGATTGCAAAAAAGGGACAGTAACGAAAAGCAACCATCCCGACATTTGGCAAAATACAAAAGGTAGGTGAAAACGAACAGAAAGTGGATATAGGTGTTTTGTGAGGGGGGGGCAAACCGAGGTTTATCCTTTTTCGAGGTTTGACTGGTAAACATCGTCGGAGAAACCAAAATTTTCAGTTACGTATTGGAATCAACTTCATAATACAGGGCCATATTTTAAGTTTTAAAGAACACGGAAAGGGAGATATTTTAGTGGCTCCGTGGCTCGTCATTCGAGGTTAGCATCTTAAAGAACGAGAGAGGTATATTTTAGTGGCTCGCAGACTCCGTCCCAACGAATATACCCAGAAAATTGGCCCTGTATTCTGTAGTTATGCCAAATGTTCTTAACCTTATTTAGCTTTTCAAAAAACCGTGCGAGCTTGTATGTAGTTCATATATTGAAATATTGAAACATTACGCTCATTTTTCAAGGTCGCAAAGTTATATACAGAGAAAAACGTGATTCATCAGATGCCTCTCAAAACAAATCGGTTACAAAAGACTCCGAAGTAAAAAAGCTGATCAAAAAAGAGCTTCGCCAGTTACAGAAAAAAATCTGTGCCAAAGATGAAAAGCTCTGTCTACCAGGACCAAAAGGAAACACTGGAAGACGGGGAAGAAGAGGACCCAAAGGTACACCGGGCACCAGAGGGAGATCCGGCCCAGCGGGGACTCCCGGTAAAAATGGACCAATAGGACCACAGGGACCAATGGGTATAAACAGGAGCCCATCAAATGGAGTCTCCATCTCCATTGATTTCTTGAGTCAACCCCTTCCCGAGTAGAGTTATATATAGAACGGCTTGTTTCCCGCGAAAAGTGTCATATTTCCGTGAGTCTCGTATGTCACCGTGAAAAAAATGAAGTTGGATGAAGTCGAACTCAGAAGCCCGTCCTTCGACCGTTTTCTTTTTTACTATACGTCCATTTTTACAATTTTACAGCCGCTGGGATCTGGGTATCATGAAATAAAAGTTAATGAATTACCCGCTGACTGAGCATGAAGCGATGGGACAAAGGCAGCGAACTGAGGATCACGGAAAGGTTATCTTTGCGAGCGTTTTTTTTTTTTTGCCATCATACATCCCACATTTAAACATACACCTTGAAAAGAGTCGACGATTAAGCATTCTGTGGATGATTTGGAACTTTTCGATGATCAGCGCCGAAAAAGTGCGAGGATCATTGGATTTTTGTCATCACCGCGGAGTGGATTTGGCCGGTTAAGCACCGCGTGCAAAAGCGATGACCTAAGTAACAACTAAGGAGGAATGCTTCAGTTCCGAAATTTGAGAAATTGCAGTCTTCCCTTACAACTGACTTGTATCACCGTGAGAGTTGCCTGATAAAACTGGCACTTGAAAAGTAGAACAGAAGAGAACAGTTGCTCGACCGTAAAGCTAACTCAAAAGTAATTTGCTAACGGAGGAATTTGTGACATCGCGCTCCAGTCCAAAGACCCACTTGTCTCAAGAAAAACAAAATGGATTGTATCTGCGCCAAACTGGAATTATGACTGACTAACAGGACAATTCTCGCAATTAATGTAGAAGTTTAGGCCAATTCTTTCCTTCGAATTCGCATCTGTAGATCACTTTTTTGCGAGAAAACAATAGCTGGGCCCGGCGTTACAAAACATAGCAGGGAATCATCACACTAGCTGACGGCAAAACAACCACAAGGACTACAAGTATTTATTCAGAAAAACGCATTTCGGAAAAGAAAACTTGAAAAACTAGAAATTTGATTAATATTGAGTCATTTAGCCCGAAATAAGAACCTTAACGCTCAAAAAATTGGCTAAAGAAAACGAATCCTGTCAGAACTACAGACTGCAGGTAGTAGTTAATCATTACGTATGTAATAGACCAGCTTCATGGCCTCTAAAGTGAGACAAGCAACCAAAATTAAGATTAACATAGTCAGAGTTTAAAATTCTCCACAGTATAATCTACCCGCTAGAAAGAAAAGAAAGAAAATCTCTGAGAGATGAAAACGCTAAAGTCACGTTTCACTAGCTTATGATTGTGTTTGGCCTGTCAACAACGAATTTCCTGCTGTTTGATGAAGTACAATAGCAGTGTCATTACGTCGTTGTGATTGGCTCTTCCCACCGTCGGCGCGCGAAGTCTCCCCTGGGAACCGTCCTAATTATAAATCTACTCGGGAAAGGGTTGACTCCAAGGGCTTGTATGGGAGATGGAGGCTCCATTTGATGGGCTCCTGGTATAAAGGGGGATCGCGGATTGCCAGGTCTGCCAGGACCTCCTGGTCCCAGAGGTCCGCCCGGTGAGAAAGGCGCGCCGGGACAATCCATCTCAGCTCCCTCCTTGTTACAGCGTCCTGTTGAAACGACAATCAATGCAAGTCTGACAGCCATCTTGAAATGTACAGCGGCTGGAAATCCTCCTCCCAAGGTCACATGGTTTAAGGTGAACTCAACACTTCCTGTAGGACGTCACGTTGTAGAGTCCAGTGGCGCTCTGATTCTTCAGGATATTAGACCTGAGGACGAGGGCCAGTACACTTGCAAAGCTGAAAATTTAATGGGAACCATCAACGCCAGCGCACGGCTAACGGTGCAGTGTAAGTTGCATTTCATTCTTCAAGATTTCAAGACGTTTTTTATCTCTCCCTAATACATTTTCTGACATGTTGTGGGAGTATTCTAACGGACACTTACAGATAGTCCCTTCTTGCCGTTCTTCAGTTACTTTCTCTGACTTTCATTATAAGATGCACAACTCTCTAAAACAATCGGTTATCAATGGTTGTGGCGGTGTGATGCAGTATTTTGTTTGCAAAATAAACGTGTTTTCTACTTCTTGCCAATTCCACCCTTTATTGAATTGTCATTAAATTACCTGATCGTAACGTAACGTAAATGAAACATAAAGAAAACTATAGTATAAAGCTAAGTCGGGGAAATTGATTCATTAGTCATGACCTTTTTTTTAAAGAAACCAATGAACTGTGGAGAAGTCTTAATCATGAGGAAACAAGTTGCTTTGGTCTTGAGGGTCAGTGTAAGTGTTCTCCTAAAATAAACCATTTTCCTTGGCATTGGCTGCATACGACTGGTGAACTACAAAAAAACTAGCAATTTAGAAGTCTAATTTTAAAGAATGTTCACGTTCGCTTACTGATAGAGGTGACCGCTGAATAGGGGTCAAGTTTAAAACAAACAAAGGGGGCAAATTTCGAGAATTTGATAAGTACTACTTTTTTGCCGGTGCACGTTGCCGTTGTGCAAAGGTGTCGTAAGAGAAGGTTCGACTATATTTGCAAAAAATGCCACGATACTAGAATAGCAGAGAGTATTCTGTCACCAGATTAAAAGCGATTTATTCATTTCTTGCCAGTTGGTCCCCAGATACTATTGTCATCAAATCGCCTGATGGCTGAGCACAACCAAAACGTAACCATCGCCTGCACTGCCACTGGTCAGCCGAAACCCAAGATCACGTGGTCCAAGGTAGGAGGAGATTTGCCAAAAGGAAGAAGTGAGGTAATGAACGACGCTCTGACAATCTATCAAGTGACAAGAAACGACGGTGGCATATACACGTGTAAAGCAGATAATATCCTGGGAACAGCGACAGATATGGCTCAGTTGATTGTTTTCTCGCCTCTTCGGTTTAAACTTCGACCACCTCAAGAACTGACTCCTATGGTTGGATCAACTGTTCGCCTACCTTGTGTAGCCGAGAGTAACCTAAGACTTACCATAACTTGGACAAAAAATGGATCCATACTTCCTTTTGAATCAAGGATTCTTCAAAACAACACTCTAGTTCTAAAAAGCATCAAAATATCACATAAAGGATCTTACACCTGCAGAGCGAGTAATCCTTTGTCAACAATGGAGACCAAAGTAAAAATCAATTCTCCAGTTACTCTTGCTTCCTGTTCTGTTATCAGAAAACAAGTCAGCAGTGTAAGCGGAAATTACGTTATTGATCCAGATGGCGAGGGAGGTCTGGCACCATTCAATGTTTACTGTGATATGACAGCTAAAAATAGAGTTGGCGTGACAGTCATTAGTCACGACAGTGAAAGCAGAACGTCAGTGAAAGGATATGAATCTCCGGGTACTTATTTACGAGATGTTCGTTACGCAAAAGTGAGAGTCTCATCGCCAGAGTCTCATCGCATTGTGAACAGTTTATCAAGTACGAGTGTTACGGTTCACATTTGCTTAACAACGTTAACAACCATAAATATGGATGGTGGGTGTCACGTGATTCTACTAAGATGACGTACTGGGGTGGAGCATCTGACAATGGTAAGTGCGCATGCGGGATGACTAACTCGTGTGCAAACCCCAGTTATGGCTGTAACTGTGACAAGAATGACTATGTATGGCGTGAAGACAGAGGTCTCCTTCCCGACAAGACCAAGCTTCCTGTGAAACAGCTCAGGTTTGGGGATACTGGTGACAGCGGAGAACAAGGTTACCATACACTTGGAAAACTAAAGTGCTTTGGGACAGCATAAAGAAATGCTTCTTCTTTTGATTTGTAAAAGAAAGTTAAAAACGTTTAGTCAACTATTTATAACTTCTGATAGAAATCTGCGAATCCTTACGTTACAGCTCCCCTCTTCGTTTAGCTGATTCTATCGTTGTTCATTATATCATAGTTAATAGAGTGGAATGGTTATGAAGCCCGTCAGACTCCTTTGTTATATGCTTTTGTGGACTTAAAGGTGCACAGACGTTCATAGCATTCCTCTTCTTTTCATTTTATTAACCAAAAAAAAGACGCATTCATTTATTTAGTCACAATTTGTGAGCAGGAAACAAAAGAGGTTCCAAAATAAACTACCGCACGGTTATCAGTTTTTAATCGTTGATGCTTTCCACCTTTCCTAACCAATCTTTTCTGCTAACTATGATTATAACGATCAAATCTTATTTCACATGTATAAACACCGCCTTATCGGAAATAGTACCTGGCAGCAATAACCCTATTGCCTTCACGGATTCATTTTTTTGCGACCGACATGTTTCATCTGCTTTTCTTTACAAGTTAGTTTCGCAAGTCGTGTAAAATACAGAGCAGAGACAATGAGTTAATGAATAATGAACTATTCTTTCTAATGTACACTCAAAAAGCTGATAAGTCCCAAGGATGGATTTTGAGGAGCAAGGGTGGTGCAGTAGTGACAGCACTCGCCTCCCACCAATGTGCCTCGGGTTAAAATGCTGGCGTCGACGCCATATGTTGGTTGAATTTGTTGTTGATTCTCTCCCTTGATCCGGGCGTGAGGGGTCTTTCTCCGGGTAATCCGGGTTTGTCCTGTCCTCAAAAACCTACACTTCCAAATTCCAATTGGATCCGGAACGCACGGACATTTTAAAAACAAGTTCTTTAGAGTTCCTAAATGCTTCGTGGGTAAATAAATTACGATGCAATGCCAAGAAAGAGTTACTTGACAAGTTTTCCAAGGCCGTGTAAATTAGGCAACTTGACACGTCTTTTACCATCTCGACGAAAAACCTGTCAAGTATTCTAATTTACACGACCAAGTTTTATTGTCCATAGCTGCCATAACCAGGATAATAAACCTCTGTCAATGGGGTAAGGCACTGGCTATGTCGTGTGATCATTGTCTTTATTATAAGCACTAGTGTAAAATTATTCTTTAAATTTATATTGCATCCACCATGGATAATTATCAATGCATCCACATGTTGTCAATCAGAACGTTTAGTGTTCAACTAAAAAGCCCGATTTCCTCTTATACGACAAGAAAAGCCCTCCTTATCATAACCGCTCTCTTATCACTACGCTACCACACCGACCGGCCAAAATTTTTCAAAAATGTACTCACAAATCATAATTTAATAACTGTCCTTCATAGCTGATACATCTTTCACAGGTGCCACAAGCCCTTTCTCCAAATAATTGTCGTAAATTAAATATTAGCTGACAGATGGTTCTTACTAAATACAATTCAAATATCGATTTTTTGCCTTCTTGTAACTTAATCCAATTCATATCTCACATCTAATATGTCTGCAGGCTTCATTTACAATACTGGCATTGACTGTTAAAATGACATCGCGAAATGGTTGACGTCGACAGAGTCAAAACAGTTGCTTGCTTCAATTCATAAAATAAAGATTATTTGAGTTCGACAACATCAGGTTTTCGAATCAGGTGTGGGCCTTCCACAGTCACTTTATTCTCACTAGAGACAAGTCATAAACCAAATGGTCCAACAGCACTATGGCCGAGTGGAAGAATAAGGCCTAAAGTAGATAAATGCCTTTATTTGAGAAATACAACGTAACAGTTCAGTGGTGTGACTGCTAATATGCACATGCGCACTACGCGGCACGAAAGAGCCACAACCTAATCTGTCACTTCATTTATTAACTTTACAAATATAAATTCCTCAAAAAGTACATAGTCCAGTCAATCTAGGCATTTTTGAGGCTCAACATCAAACTAATTGCAACAGGATTGTTTTCAACGCCATTTAACTAAGGGTGGCCTATCTAGCAACATACTAAAAATCCGCCAAAATCCGTTTGGTGGAACATGTCAAAATTAAGCGTTAAACATTTTGAGCTTCTAACACAGGGCACCCACGTTAGTTGAAATTATACGTTCAAACAAAAAATGCGCAAAATGTGTTTGTTACTTTTATGGAAAGTGAAAGAAGAAAGAATAACTGCTACCTATTTTTCGGTGATAAAAACGACGTGTTCTTTTTTTCAAAAATGCCAAAGATTTAACACGGTTGACTTTTGCACAGGAAGCCCATGCTTTGCTCAAGGAACCCGAAAATAACAGGAGGCTTACAGAGTAATAGAATGAACTTTTGGCTGTAAAACTACAACAAATTTAGTCCAAAGGCTTTAAATCGGAAAAATGAAAGCCTTTACTTAATCATTAGGTTTTAAAATATATCCTTTTTAAATCAGATTTCTGTTAGGCACAACGGTAAGAAAAATATATATCAGGGCTGAGTTGCTCAAAGCATGGTTAGCTTTAACCATTGGTTAAGCAGTATCAAAACCAATACGTTGTCAAGGTATTAAACGCTGGTTAACGCTAACCATGCTTCGAGCAACTGGGCCCTGAGCTAGATTTTTGAATAACGTTACAGCCAAAATAGGGCTCTCAAACAGAAGAAAAAAAGAAAACTAGCAGTGCAGCCATTGCTTTTTTTTTCTTCTCTTCCTTTCTTTCTCTTCGCTCACTCTATTTTCCCTTTCCTTGTTCTTTTCTAGGAGGATTTTCGGGCTCATTTTGCCTTCGGCTTTTGGTCTTTTTTTTCTCACTCAAAAGACTGCAATTTTCGTACGGTACGTTCTAAAAAATCCAGCAAGATAATGCTTTGCAGGCTTTTAAGATATACCAGTTTAACTTTTTTGAAGCTCAGTTTCGTTTCCTCCTTGTTAAAAGTGAATGGAGAGGAGGGGAGGATATTGTTAACGGTACATATTCATCGCATAAGAACTTTGGTTCCAGCAAACGTTTGTTTCAAGAAAACGAAATAGTATAATTGGGAAGCTTCATGCTTTTTAAGGGAAAGTCAAAGTCTGGGTAGCCAAAACAATGCGTATGTAAAAATATCTTGTAAGAGTCTATGGAGTAACGGAAATTCCCCAAGCAGAGCATAATTCACGCAACTCAGTCATAAGGTTAGCATGCAGCAAGTTGAAGTGTTACACAACGCACATCCGAAGAGAAACATAGGTTCCGCAAAAAGATGTGAGCCATCAGAAGGTTAGTCAGGTAAGCCCATTAATGTTGTACAGTGTCCAGTACTTTTGCGCCTTCATTGACCACTGCAATTATTTTCAGACGTATAGGATCCCATGACCTTTAAGAAAAAGAGGTCTTCATTTGCCAATGGACGAGAAAAAACTGGTCAAGGTTCAGGGTTGTTCTCACAAAAGAAATGCAAGGAGCGAATATAAACGCCTTTAGACCACAGAGCGATTAATCTACTTATTCATCTTACCAAGAAATGAAGGGCTGCCGCAGAAAATACAAACTGAACACAAAGATACACTAAACTAAAGTGAGATCTGAGACTCGCTACAAGAAGAAGATTAAAAAAAGAACAATCACACTGCGCTTGGTTTTCTTGATTTCCCTGACTACAGATTCAGCCATGTGTAATAAAAAGCGCAGAGCGTTACCATCAAGCAAAAACCAAATAGACGGAAACCTTAGCAGAATATTTATTCACTCACATTGTAAGGTACTGAGTCATAATCATAAAGGAGGTTGCTCATGTCGCAAAATCCCTGATTTCGATCACACATATTGTCCAAGGCTTTTGAGCAAAATGGGAATAGGATAAACAGTTTGTACTGAGCTATCGTCCGTTGCAAACATTTAGACGCACGTATCTTGCAGCATAGATTCAAATTAAGTAGCTGACTGAAGGTGAACAAAATATCAAATCAAATTGTTCACCATCAGTCAGCTACTAAATTTGCATCCATGCTGCAGGATATAAAAAAATTGCAAGCCTTTTATGTGTAAAACTGCTCATACTTACTGCATTACTGATATTGCGCAAAAAAAACCAATTGCTAATATTTTAACCATATATATGTTAACACAGACTGACTAATAATTTCCATTTTAAATACCGTCATAGAAAAAACAATTAAAGCATGGAAAACAGAATGTGAAGACAGACGAGTGGCTGGGTAACCTGTGCAAAGTCCTCAAAACGAAACACTTACCCACGTGTTATCTCACACATTTAGTCGGCGTTTTTTAAAACAAAAGAACTACCCAAAAAACATTAGCGATGTTTCATCGAAAATTGTTTAGAAAAAAGAACACAATTATCAGATCTTTTGTCTAAATTTGTGATCTTCATGAAATTGAGTGTCCTGTGGTGAAAGAAGAAAATCTTTATGCCAATTTTTCACATCTTTCACCGAACTGATTTTGGCGGATTTTTAGTATGTTGGTCAATAGCCATCCATGCCATCCAACAATTTAATAGCGTTGAAAAAAATTATGTTGCAATTACTTTGATGCTAAACCACAATTTGACTGGACCAACATGCAAAGGTGTTAAAAACAAACAAATAAACAAAAAAAACTTTCAAATGCATAAACCTGTACAAGACGTGTTCCTCATAGTTCGTAAATTATAAACTCTATTGTGACCAGTGACTTCCTGTTGCGCTTATATTCGTACATCAAACTGAGATAACTCCCGGAACTTTCAATCATATTTGTCAGAGATATAAATTTGCCTGCGTGCAGATGTCTCCTATTTCCTTTGTTGCACGCGGAAAAGGGACGTCTCCGTAACGCCGTCGCTAATCGTGTTCCAGCGTCCCGCTTGCAAGATATTCTATTTCGCATAAATTGTGAAATAATATCCGGTTAGAAATAAGAGTTGACAGGCCAAACAAAACATCATAAGCTCGTGATACGGGCGAAACGTGACCTTGAGAGTCTGCTTGAACAGAGGTTTTTCTTCTTTTCTCTCTCGCGCGAAGATTACTAGCACTACACAGTGCATGTAGCATTCTAACCTTTGACTGAGTAAATCTCATTTTTGCCGCGCTAAGTCTTACATTTAGAGGTCATGAAGCAGGTTTGTTACATGCATACTGAGTAATCATTTTCTGTGATTTATGCTTCTGTGGGTGTTCCCGATAGGATTTGATTTCAGATGCAGTTGTAAAGTGTTTAAATTTTCTTGACCTCTCTTTGTTACGGCTAAATAAAGATTTTAGTTTCTTTGGCTGGCTTTCTCCGAAATGCCTGCCTGGTGCGAAGTCCACGCCGCTTTTGTAGTTTTCTCAGACAGTGTTTACAAATATGATGTGATGTGTCATGCACAGTAAATTGTAAAGAAATAATTTCCTCGTACACGTTAAATTTTCCGCGTCCCCGCACAAGATTTCGATCGCTCTGCTTGTCGATCGACGAAAAACACAGCACCCAATCGCACATGTTTTGATTTGTTTTGGTTAGAAAACCCCGCTTACATAAATCATTTAAATCACCGCATACATTATCAGACCACATTCGATAACAACCAATCAGCGTTAAGTAAAACAATGCGCACTGTGTGTCAGCCTATCACAGCGTGTTCCCAAGATCTTGGGAACCCAGCAGGACGCTGGAACACGATTAGCGACGGCGTTACGCAGACGTCCCTTTTCCGCGTGCAACAAAGGAAATAGGAGACGTCTGCACGCAGGCAAGATATAAATAGGATTGTTCGGAAAGTGATATCCCGTCAGACTATCAAAGGCCAAGTTGTTCCACTGCCCAAGTTGGAAAACCCTGCGACATCATAGTCCTAACCGAGCGGTTTTATCATGAAACAAGTAGGATCAAAGGAAGGGCATTTAACCGCAGTTACAGCAATTGACAGCTTGTGTTGCAAGTCAGCTTTGCTTCTGTCCATTGCGTGCTGTATCGCACTTATTCACGTAGAACTTCGAATACAAGAACATGATCGCCTATTTCCACACTCAGTGACTCGCTCTGGTCAAATGAAAACAGAAATCTTTCGAGTTCAACAGAAAAATAGAAGATGGAGAATAACCGAAAGCGGCCATTTAGATTTAGGACAGAAGACGAAAGGTGGGTATTGAGAAAACCTAGAACGACGATAGGTGGCCTCTTCCCAAGAAAACAGTGAATCGTTTTAGGCCTAACGATAAGCGCTATTAAATATCCTCTTTTCATTGTTAAAGGTCAAGAAAAAAAGAGGAGACAAACATCAGAGATAAAATGGTTTTAGCGAATTGTACTCTCCGTTCAGATAGGCTCTTCTCGCCCACTCAGGCAGCCAACCAAAACAGAGAATTAGTTTAGTCTTTCCCTGTCGCGGAATCTGCCATAGTGACTAAAAAATATTTTATTGGCATTTTCTTTACTGTTTGTTCCTGAAGTTTGTTTAATAAGCACGGTATGTGTTCTAATTTCTCTCAAAAGGTCAGGAAAGTTCGTCACGACAAAGACGCGCTTCATCCGATGACTCACAACCGAAACCGGTCAAAACAGCTTCTGATGTAAAACTGCTCATTGAAAAAGAACTTCGTCTGCTGCAGAATCAAATCTGTGCCAAAGATGAAAAACTCTGTCTTCCAGGACCAAAGGGTAACACTGGAAGACGGGGAAGACGAGGACCCCAAGGTATACCGGGTCCCCGAGGGAGAACCGGACCACCAGGATCTCCTGGTAAACATGGACCAGTAGGACCAAAGGGACCAATTGGCAAAAACGGGGTTCGCGGAATGCAAGGTCCGCCAGGACCCCCCGGCCCCAGAGGCCCGCCTGGTGTGAAAGGCGCACCGGGACAATCTATCTCAACTCCCTCCCTGTTACAGCGTCCTGTTGAAACGACAGTCAATGAAAGCCAGACAGCCATCTTGAAATGTACAGCGGTTGGAAATCCTCCTCCCAAAGTCACATGGTTTAAGGTGAATTCATCACTTCCCGTCGGGCGTCACGTGGTAGAGTCCAGTGGTGCTCTGATTCTTCAGGATGTTAGGCCTGGAGACGAGGGCCAATACACCTGCAAAGCTGAAAATTTGCTGGGAACCATCAACGCCAGCACGCGGCTAACGGTGCAGTGTAAGTTGCATTTCATTCTTCAAGATTTCAAGATGTTTTTCTATCTCTCCCTAATACATTTTCTGACATGTTGTAGAAGTATTCTCACGGAAACCTACAGATGGTCCCTTCTTGCCGTTCTTCAGTTACTTTGTCTGACTCTCATTATAAGATGCACAACTCTCTAAGACGATCGGTTAGCAATGGTCGCAGCGACGTGATGCAGTATTTTGTTTACAAAATAAACGTGTTTTCTACTTCTTGCCAGCTCCACCCTTTATTAAATTGTCATCAAATTACCTGATTAACTAGTTCGAAACTGTAAAGCAACGTAAACAAAAAACGTATAAAGAAAAACTATAGTATAAAGTTATGTCGATGAATTTGATTCACTAGTCATGACCTTTTTAAAGAAACCAATGAACTCGATCCGGAGAAGTCTTAATCGTGAGCAATCAAGTTACTTTAGTCTTGAGGTTCACTGTAATGGGAGTAAGTGTTTTCCTAAAATAGACCATTTTCCTTAGGATCTGTTGTGTACGACTAGTAAACTACAAGAAAAACTAGCCATTTAGGAAGTCTAGTTTTGGATGATGTTCACGTTCGCTTACTGATAGAGTTGACCATTGAATATGGGTCAAGTTTAAAGTAAATAAAGAGAGCCGGTGTATGTGACGGTTATGGAAAGGTGCCGTGCATTAGAGGAGGTTTAACTGTAGTGGTTAAATATTCCACGATATTAAAACAGTGGAGAGTGTTTTGTCACCAGAATAAAAGCGATTTATTCATTTCTTGCCAGTTGGTCCCCAGATATTATTGTCATCAAATCGCCTGATGGCTGAGCACAACCAAAACGTCACTATTGACTGCACTGCCACTGGTCAGCCGAAACCCAAGATCACGTGGTCCAAGTTAAGAGGAACTTTGCCAAAAGAAAGAAATAAAGTGATGAACAACCCTCTGACGATCTATCAAGTAACGAGAAATGACGGTGGAATATACACGTGTAAAGCGCATAATATCCTGGGATCAGCGGCAGATATGGTTCAGTTGATGGTTTTTTCGCCTCTCCAGTTCAAAGTTCGACCACCTCAAGAACTGACTCCTATCGTTGGCTCAACTGTTCGCCTACCTTGTGTGGCGGAGAGTGACCTGAGACTTACCGTGAATTGGACAAAGGATGGATCCATACTTCCTGTTGGTTCAAAGATTCTTCAAGACAACACTCTAGTTCTTGACAGCATCAAAAAATCAGACCAAGGTTCTTACAAGTGCAGAGCGAGTAATTCTTTGACAACAATAGAAACCAAAGTAAAAATCAGTTCTCCTGTTAGTGTTGCGTCCTGTTCTGAGATCAGAAAAAACGTCAGCAGTGTAAGCGGAAATTACGTCATTGATCCAGATGGCGAGGGGGGTCTGGCACCATTCACTGTTTATTGTGATATGACAGCTAAAAATGGAGTTGGCGTGACAGTCATCAGTCACGACAGTGAAAGCAGAACATACGTGAAAGGATATGAGGCTAAGGGAAGTTACTCGCGTGACATTCGTTACACAGGAGCAAGTCTTTCTCAGCTGGCAAGTCTCACCAGAGTGTCCTCGAATTGTGAACAGTTTATCAAGTATGAATGTACAGGTTCCTCTCTCCTTGAAAATGGCGCCTTTTATGGCTGGTGGGTGTCACGTGATTCCGCTAAGATGACGTACTGGGGAGGAGCATCTGGCAATGCTAAGTGCGCATGCGGGATGACTAACTCATGTGCACACGCCAGTTATGGCTGTAACTGTGATAACGAATCCTATAGATGGCAGGAGGACAGCGGTCTGCTCACTGACAAGACGACGCTTCCTGTAAAACAACTCAGGTTTGGGGATACTGGTAGCAAAGGAGAACAAGGTTACCACACGCTCGGAAAACTAAAGTGCTTTGGAACCGCATAAATATATGCTAGTTCTTGTGACTCCAAACCCGACAAGTAAAAAAAAAATATGTGTAACCTTAAAAGTTCATAAAGAAACCTGAAGAGAGACTGACAGTCATCCTTGTTTTACATGTACAGTAAGTACAATAGTCAACGTTCGATATATTAAAACTCTAACATGCCTCCGAGGCTTTAGGGTCGAAATTGCGAATTTTTTACGACTCCATTGTCTCGCAATTGCCAGAAGAGACTTGAGGACAAAGAAAACCTAACCAAATGTACAAAAATCACCAGAAAGCCTCGAAGTCATGTTAGAATTTTAATATATCGAACGTGAGCTATTAAAACCCGGTCGAACATCCGTAGGCTAGCTCTTCTCGCTTTTTTACTGATGTTTATTGTAAACAACCTGTCACGCTTCAACATATTCATCAAACTCTAAATTCTTTTCACGAGAATTAACACCAACCGAAAATAGAGACATGGCACTAATAACTGTCTTTTTCCCCTTGTACTAAAGTATCGATATGATTGTTTTAACCTGTTTTCGAAAGTCTTGCAGGTCGTGTAGGAGAGTAATAAGCAATAGTTTAATAAATGTTTTTTATGTATTCTGAAAAATCCTGTCACTGTTATCCACGGCTGCTACTACCGGGGCTGAGCGCATGTGTGAGTTTCTGACTATTATTGTGTGAATGCTTTCTTGGAAAGATATATTATTACTCTTGTTTGTTATTCACATAGAGGTATCAAGCCAATCAAAACAAGAACGCTCACAGCCTAGACCGAATGACCATTTATCTACCTTAAAAAAAAAAACCAAAAGATTTGGAGGTCCCATGCATAAAGATAAAAGGTGTTAAAGTTGGCCTGTTTAATCTCCACTTTTAATGTGCAATTTATAAAGTTTAAATACTTTTGCATTAAAAGCGATCCAAAATTTCAGTGTGTGTTGGTTAAGCGACTTGTGGCGTGAAAATAGACAGAAGAGAAGCTTATTAAAACCTTTGAATGCAGAGGTCCACTCAACACGTAAATAAAACCGACTGGTTCTTTCTTGTCGGATCTCTAATCTAGAGATGCTAATGCCAGAGGTCACTTGAAGTAAGAATTAAAAAAAAAATGAATGCAAGGCTGGAAATACGACAAAGGGGTGATTTATTTGAGGCCAATATTTCGGCTAACAAAATTAGCCTTCTTCAGGGCCACAGCTTGTTATATTTTGTATTTTTAAGATCCTTTGAGGTCGAAAACATAACTTTTTCAAATCAGGTATAGGCCTTCCGTCATTCCTCAATGCAAAAGTCTTCATACTCAAGCATCGTTACGCCACGCGCACCACGTGACCCTGCAGGAATATGGGAGCGCGGAGGAATGAGGTCTAAGAGATTTACCAACAGTGGGTAAATGCAAGACAAAACTAAACAAAATGAGCGGAAGGTAATGGGCACGTGAGCTTTAGGAGTTGTAAAGCCGCGTCTGTCACGTCTGTAACCTACTTTTTTTAATATCTTCCGCAGGAAAGACAAGCAAACAGACAGACAAGCTTTCAAGTATATGTGTTGTAGGTTATATCCGTTCTTAGGTTAAATCACAATTTTTGTCTCCTTTGAATAATTAAGGCCTAGAAACAAAAAGAAAATACTGTCGAAAATTCGGTTGAATCCTTGTCAAAAATGAGAACGGAGTTTACCTACAACATAAGCCTGTGGTTAGTTTCTTTACATCATCAAGTGACGAAACAAAGCAAATCCTGAACTTCCTACTGTGCAATAATCTTCCCATGATAGTGTGAAACGTGACCTTGGACTTGGAGTTAGCTTAAACTACAGAGGTCCTCTTTTTCCTTCTTTCAATTCTATGCAGTACACGGAGAATTTTACAATCTGACTGAGCAAATCTTAGTTTGCCGCTCTGAGTTTAACGCTTAGAGGTCATGAAGCTGGTCTGTTTCATTCTCTTTGAGTAATTATTTCCTGTGGTCTGGAGCGCGATGTCCTACTGTTCCTCCGTTCGCAATTCCTTTTGTACTAACTTGATAGTCTATGCGACTGTACTGGTAGTGCATTTTTTTGTTACAAGTGCCTAAAGCAAGACTGCAGTTTCGGAATTAAAAGATACCTTGTCTAAGGGACGGACCATTTGAAAACTTATGGGGGGGGGGGGGCGGGCAAAGTACAAAAAAAAATTTCGCGCAAGAGAAAATTAAATTTAAAAAATATTCATGCTATGGCCTAAAAAAAATTCATACCAGGAATTTGATGACGAAAAAAAATTCCTGCCCCTCGAAAATCCCCCCCATAACTTTTCTAATGGTCCGTCCCTAAGGTCACGTTTATTTTTGTTCAGCCTGTCAACACTATTTCAAACCGGATATTTTCTTTAGCGCGTTCAGCCAACAACAAAAGGTTTTCTGTTTTGGAAAGCTAATAGCCAATCAGAAAATACGTACCATATTCGCAAAAAGTAGGTGACGTCAGTGGACAACGCTCGGAATTCAGTCGTCTCTCTACCCCCGCACCCCCCTCCCCACGGATTACGAGGTGGAGACGTGTGACATTTCAGACTATCGCCGGCCTCTCTTTAACTTGTCATATCATAATGTCACTCATATTTGTTAGAGATATAAGTGAATCATTTGTTAGCCGGAGTATCAGGCGTTTCTGGGGGAAAAGGGCTAAAATGAAAGCGAAAAAGGGAGAGGGCTGACGTAGAGAAACGCCCTTCCTTTCTCTTCTCCCCCTCCCCCATCCCCCATCTAATCTATCCCCCATCTCTGATACTCAGGCTAATCATATGATTAGAAAAGCCGTATGTCACGGGCCTGGTTATTTAATTTCTCGAGTTTCACAAAAGACCTTTCCTTCACTGATTTCAAGGGCCATTAACTTACTTGGTCTTTCTGAAAACGTAGGCCCAAAAAGACAGTTTAATCATGAGACAACGGAATGTAGAAGAGAAGCATAAGACTGGAAGTAAAATATTTGAGAGCTTGAGTTGCAAGTCAGGCTTGCTGCTGTCTATTGCGTGCTGCATCGCACTTATTCACGTAGAACTCCGAATACAAGAACATCATCAACTGATTTCACACTCAGTGGCACTTTGTGGTCAGATGGAAACACAAATCCTTAGAGTTCAACAGAAAAATGGAAGATGGAAAATCACCGAAAGCGGCCCTTCAGATTTGGGGCAAGAAGCGGAAGGTGAGTACAAAGAATTTTAAAAGCGGAAATAGCTAAGCTCTTTGCCAAGACCAAGGCCTCTTATCCCTCCTTATGCAAATATCACTGGTTAATAAAACACTGATAATAGTCACACGTAAATCGAGAAACTGATCACCGAAGGAAAATAAAAGAGCCTTGGATTTGAAAAAAAAAATGTTTATTGTTGGTACTATAAAAAGGCAAAATTCGTTGTTCAAAACTTAAGTTTAAGGAGATGACCATTTAAATAACGTTTACTGTTTACCTTGAGCGATTTCTTTACGATATATTATTTATGTTCTACAATCTTTGATAAATGGCTTTTATTTTTGAGGTCAAAAAACCAAATCAAGAGAAAGACGTGCTTCACCCAGTGACTCACAAGCGAAACCGGTAAAAACAGCCTCTGATGTAAAACAGCTGATCAAAGAAGAACTTCGTTTGCTACAAAATCAAATTTGTACCAAAGATGAAAAGCTTTGTCGACCAGGACCAAAAGGTAACACAGGAAGGCGGGGGAGACGAGGACCCCAAGGTATACCAGGTCCCCGAGGGAGAACCGGACCAGCAGGACCTCCCGGTAAACATGGACCAGTAGGACCACAAGGACCAATTGGCAAGGACGGAGTTCGCGGAATGCAGGGTCCCGCGGGACCCCCCGGTCCCAGAGGTCCGCCGGGTAAGAAAGGCGCACCGGGACAATCTATCTCGGCTCCCTCCCTGTTACAACAGCCTGTTGAAACGACAGTCAATGAAAGTCAGACAGCCATCTTGAAATGTACAGCGGTTGGCAATCCTCCTCCCAAGGTCACATGGTCTAAGGTGAATTCATCACTTCCTGTCGGTCGTCACGTGGTAGAGTCCAGTGGCGCTCTGATTATTCAGGATGTTAGAGCTGGGGACGAAGGCCAGTACACCTGCAAAGCCGAAAATTTGCTGGGAAGCATCAACGCAACAGCGAAGCTAACAGTGCAGTGTAAGTTCCAACTTTTTAATCTAAGGCTTTAAGCAATGATGTTCACTTCTCCGTAACACATTATCTATTTCTTCTCAGTTCCTCCCACTATTGTACTGTCATCACATCGCCTGATGGTTGAAGAGAAACAAAACGTCACTATCGCCTGCACTGCTACTGGTCAGCCGAAACCCAAAATCACGTGGTCCAAGTCAGTTAACAAACTGCCCAAAGACAGAAACAAAGTGGTGAATGGAGCCCTCACAATCTATCATGCAGTAAAAGAGGACGGTGGAACATACATTTGCAAAGCAGACAATATTCTTAGTTCAGCCACAGATACGGCTCAACTCATAGTTTTCTCGCCCTTACGGTTTAAAGTCAAACCTCCTAAAGAAGTGACCCCTGCAATTGGATACCCTGTCCATCTACCTTGTATGGCCGAGAGTGACCTGAGACCTGTAATTTCTTGGTCAAAGGATGGCTCTACACTTCCTGTTGGTTCGAGAGTTCTTAAAAATAACACTCTCGTACTAAACAACATCAAAAAATCACACAGAGGATCTTATACCTGCAGAGCAACTACTGCCCTCAAAACGATAGAAACAGAAGTTAAAATCAATTCTCCAGTGAGGGCTACTTCCTGTTCTGTTATTAAAAAGAACGTCGGCAGTGTAAGCGGAAATTACGTCATTGATCCAGATGGCGAAGGAGGTCTGGCACCATTTCCTGTTTATTGTGATATGACAACTAAACATGGAATTGGCGTGACAGTCATAAGTCACGACAGTGAAAGCAGAACATCAGTGAAAGGATATGAATCTCCGGGTACTTATTTACGAGACGTACGTTACGCAAAAGTGAGCCTCTCTCAGCTGGCAAGTCTCACCAGAGTCTCATCGCATTGTGAACAGTTTATCAAGTACGAGTGTTGCGGTTCACTTTTGCATCACAAAAACAATAAATTTGGATGGTGGGTGTCACGTGATTCTACTAAGATGACGTACTGGGGCGGAGCATCTGACAATGGTAAGTGCGCATGCGGGATGACTAACTCGTGTGCATATCCCAGTTATGGCTGTAACTGTGACAAGAATGACTATGTATGGCGTGAAGACAGCGGTCTCCTCACTGACAAGACCAAGCTTCCTGTAATACAACTCAGGTTTGGCGATACTGGCGACGGGCCCGAACAAGGTTACCATACACTTGGAAAACTTAAGTGCTCTGGGACAGTATAGATAGATGCTAGTTGTTGTGATTGCCTTGGATGCACTATTCGCACGAAATCGCATGCGCGAATAATAAGGTGGTATAAGGACCTGAACAAACGCTAATAGTTTCATAAAGAAATCTGCAGACTAACAGCCATGTTTTACATATACAGTAAATACAATAAATACCCGGTCGCAATTCCGTAGGTTTGCTCTTCTCGCTTTTTTTGCTGATATTTATGGTAAACAAACTGTGATGTTTTAACATATTCATAAAACGCTAAATTCTTTCCACGAGAATTAACACCAACCGAAAATCGAGACATGGCACTGATAACCCTGTCTTTTTTCCTAGTACTGAAGTATGGATATCATTGTTTAAACCTGCGTTCGAAAGTCTTGCAGGTCGTGTTAGAAAGTAGTAAGCAATAGTTTAATAAACATTTTTTACGTAATTTGAAAAATACTGTCACTGTTATCCACGGCTGCTACTACCGGGGCTGAGCGCATGTGTGAGTTTCTGACTATTATTGTGTGAATGCTTTCGTGGAAAGATATTTTTTATTCTTGTTTGTTATTCACATAGAGGTATCAAGCCAATCAAAACAAGAACGCTCACAGCCTAGACCGAATGACCATTTATCTACCTTAAAATAAACACCTCACCAAAAGATTTGGAGGTCCCATGCATAAATATAAAAGGTGTTAAAGTTAAGCCCTGTTTAATCTCCACTTTTAATGTGCAATTTATAAAGTTTAAATACTTTTGCATTAAAAGCGATCCAAAATTTCAGTGTGTGTTGGTTAAGCGACTTGTGGCGTGAAAACAGACTGAAGAGAAGCTTATTAAAACCTTTGAATGAAGAGGTCCACTTAACGCGTAAATAAAACCGACTGGTTCTTTCTTGTCGGATCTCTAATCTAGAGATGCTAATGCCAGAGGTCACTTGAAGTAAGAATTAAAAAAAAAATGAATGCAAGGCTGGCAATACGACAAAGGGGTGATTTATTTCAGGCCAATATTTCGGCTAACAAAATTAGCCTTCTTCAGGGCCACAGCTTGTTATATTTTGTATTTTTAAGATCCTTTGAGGTCGAAAACATAACTTTTTCAAATCAGGTGTGGGCCTTCCGTCATTCCTCAATGCAAAAGTCTTCATACTCAAGCATCGTCACGCCACGCGCACCAGGTGACCCTGCAGGAATATGGCAGCGCGGAGGAATGAGGTCTAAGGGATTTACCAACAGTGGATAAATGCAAGACAAAACTAAACAAAATGAGCGGATGGTAATGGGCACGTGAGCTTTAGGAGTTGTAAAGCCGCGTCTGTCACGTCTGTAACCTACTTTTTCTAATATCTTCCTCAGAAAAGACAAGCAAACAGACAGACAAGCTTTCAAGTGTATGTGTCGTAGGTTATATCCGTTCTCAGGTTAAATCACAATTTTTGTCTCCTATGAATAATTAAGGCCTAGAAACAAAAAGAAAATACTGACGAAAATTCGGTTGAATCCTTGTCAAAAATGAGAACGGAGTTTACCTACAACATAAACCTGTGGTTAGTTTCTTTACATCTTTAGGCAAGAGCAAATCCATGGACTAAGAGAGGCATTGGGGTTTCGCTGGGTAGATATTGCAAGGATGCTAGAAATGTCTCCGAGGACACTTAGTCGGCAGAGGCAAGAATTTGGTATGCCACTCGGTCAACAGCATAATTTTTCCTCCTGGTTCGACACCTGGACAATATTGTGAGAAGCATTCTCTCAGTTACTCCACTGTGAATTCTACGTAATACTTGACTCTTCTGTATTGCCTTCATAATGAAAGTCACTGTTTACTGTTGCAAGTGATTGTAATCTGGAGTTCATTATCTGTATTAAAAGTTCCAAATCCTGAGTAAGTTGATTCTGCTGCAGTAGTCCTGGGCTGACTCCGTAACTCCACCATGCATCACCCGCAAAGTGCGTTTATATTCCTCTAGACGCCTTGCAAGAAATTCTGCGTGCCCCCTCATCGGTATTTTCTTTCACACAGTCTTCGCAGTGCTGCAAAAGTGAGATCAAACCTTCGAAAAATTCATTTACATTTGGAATATAGAAACGATTAGAAGCCATCTTGAATTCCAACTTGTGTTCCCGTTTTAATTACCTCTCGGAAACAGAAATGATTAAAAACTGTCGTCTATTTTCTTGATTTAAAGAACAAGCATCTTGATTTACAAAAATTATCTCTTGATACATGACAAGAAACACGCGGGAATTAAAATTAAATTCTATAATCTTGACACATTCAAAAAGCAAGTTGATGCTCATTGTATCGATCTTGATAGTGAATTTGTGGATTTGAATTATAAAGTTGCATCTTTGATATTTTGTCACTTTTGGCGTAGCATAGATGCCCATTAATATTTACAAACAAATTCATGATACCAAACGGGTTTTAAACGTTTGTAATCGAAAGATTCTACATCTATACTGCCTTGACGGAAAAAAATTACAATTAATTCTCCAAAACCTATACCCTGCCGTTTACAGTAAAAAACCTTAGGCACTAAATCGAAATTTTTTCTACATATTTTCATGTGAATATTTCATTCATTGTCCATTTCTCTTTCTAAGCCAAGTTTTGCAAATGACTCACACTTGCAATGCAAGAAAAATCTAAAAACGGACAGCTAGTAAAAAAATAAGGAAAGCTCCGGATTTCTCTAAT